AGTTTAGGGTTATTCCCCTGGACACTTTAAAATCTTTTGGATATTTTGAAGGGCAAATTGAATTTGCTATATTTCGTTCTAAAATCAACCACTAAGATCTTCCGAGACTCAATAAAATCATACTTTAGGGTTTGATAGCTATACCTTCATCTACTCCAGTATCATTAATTCTTTGCAAAACTATATACATTGCTAGAACTAACCTTTTAGGTGGAGGAATGAGATAAAATCGACAGGTAAACTTTCAAATTATTGCATTCACCTTTATGTACTTCTTGTCTCGCACTCGCATGTTAAACAGCGATGTCACCCTGCATGTTAAAATCAGAATTGCTTGGATAGCCTCAAAACTAAAATCAAAATTTAAAAATCAAATAAGATAAAATTCACCGCCACAACATTCAAAATATAAGATAACTCAAAATTTAATCACAAACAAAACAAAACAAAAACTTACAACCAAATTAAAACGTTTCTATCGGATAATCGGGAATCCCTCGGAGAAGGTAACTTACGGTTGCTAACGAGACTTTCCACAGTCTAAATAAAAGTATTGAGCTCATTAAGTTGAGTTTAGTAAATTTATTTGGACTAAGTGAATCTGAAAGAAAATATTGGTGTCGGAACGAGGGAACCATAAGATCCTAACCGGTGTTGCTCTAATCAACTTTAGTATTCCCCATAATGTTTAAATAAGTATAACCATAAGAAACATTTGATTTGACATCATGACACCTTAGAAAACTTAAACTCGCCACGACGAGGAGCTTGGAGCTAGCATCGTGGGCAGCACTACCATCTTTAACAGCAAAACATGTCTACACCAGCGAAACCATTCTTTATAATGAAACAACAAGCCATAGGACTTCGAGGTTGTTCGCCTAGTGCGACATAAATCTTCAACCTTATCTTTAGGCTTTTGTATAGCCCTGCTAGACAGTAAAAGCCTTAACCCACTTTAGAATTCAGAGGTTGTCGTTCATCACAACTTAAATCCTCATATCTTCAAGACTAATTGTGTGATCGTTCCACACAGATGTAAGTCTTAATAAATAAAAATTGGCAGGATAAATATTTAAATAATTTATCCTAAATTAAAGTCAAACCAGTAGGATAGATTGAGAAGTCACCGAAGTTTTTCTCAAGATCTATGACGTCCCCTAGTTCTTCTTCCTTTATATTCAAAAATAAAATGTTTCAAATTCGAGCTATTCTCATTTCACACCTCTTCGTCCGATCTCTTTGAAAAGTCTCATTCCTTTGACCTCTTTGAAGACAACATCCCCTGATTTTTATTGAGAGTTTTCTCAGGTAACTTCGGTTATCTAAGATGTAATTTAAGATGTAATTAACAATAAGGGTTTGCCTTTATAGGAAACTTTTTCAAACTCAACTTAATATAAACCTTATTTAATTTTTTGTATTAAATAAGAGAATTTGTCGGTTTATAATAAAATTGTTTTGTAGACCAAACAAGTGTCATATATTTCTTAGTTTATTTGATCGAGTCTTACCAGTAAGTAGTGTGTCTCACCCTCAAGTCTTGTGTTTACCTTTCGGGATAGATACATAGTTGAGGTGTAGTGCTATTTCATCTAAACTTTGAAAGATATATGTATGTAAATTAAATGTTTTTCCGAAGCGGACGACGGGATTTCGATTCTGGCGATCGACAGCTTCCAACGAACGACCCTTCTAAAATTTGTGCCGACAGCGTGTATCACGAGTACCTTCGGTTGAGTGAGCATAAATAACAATGTTCCCCTTGGATGAAGATAATGTGGATGCATCCTCAATGACATTACTTGTTACTCTCTGTTTTCTTTACGGCATATCTACTAACTCGTGATCCTCATCGGTAAAGACTATCCTTACTTTTCCCATGTTCCTTGCTACCATCAGATTTTTCTGGTAGCATCCTCTCCACCTCTTGGGCCCTTACGATTACAATCATGACCCCTAGACTGTTCACGTCTACTCGTCACTCTCTGCTTGGGTAGGTTTAGAAAAACCATGCTCAAGTGTCACACTTCTCCACAGTTGTAGCACTTGCGGATCTTCCTCTGGGCATTTGTCATACCTGAGCTCGATGCAGCGAAAGCTAATCGCGTACCTGGAAGTTCACTTGGCTTAGGCGACCCTCCTCCCTCTTGCTTTTTTGCTCGTGCTTCAGCAACTCCAAGTCTCGCACTCCAACACAACCGCTTAGGCATGCAAGATCGCAGCATGTGCTCGTCGATTGTTTGCTTTCTTCCTCAACAAAACAAGCCCGCTCCTCACTTGCAGTCCCTACTCAAGCCAGACACATATATTTGAGCACTATCCGTCACAATTTCTCGAATTCCCGTGCCATGACTCACAATCTTAACTCCCGCTTCAATTCTTGTAGGAGGCTGCACTTTTCGTGCTCACGACAACATCAGCTTGATTTCCTCTCTCCCTCACCCTTGGCTACTGCACCTTTCATGCTCAGGACAAACATCAGCTTGATCTCCTCTCTCCCTCACACTTGGTCGCAACGAGCTTCTTCCTCTGCACAACCAAAGAATCGGATTCGCTTGCCCTACAACTACTCCATCTGCGTCTTCCTGCGATACTGTCTGCCTTCCCAGCAAAGAATCAGATATGCTCGCCCTATAGCTCTTCGATCGGTGTCTTCCTGCGATCTCGTCTGCTTTCCCAGCAAGCTCAAATCGAATGGCATCACCACGATCCCGTCTAAGCTTCCAATTGCATCTGTATGACGTATTGTGAAGCTTCTAAGTCGGGATCTTGTCGTTGGCGTCTCCTGCGATCTTTTCATTGGTGCCTAGCAGGCTCTAATCATCGTCGGCGACTTCCCGTGATCTACCCCGCGATCCCGTCGAGCACAACGAGCTGACTTCATGATGTCGTCCCATCCCAGGTGCAACCTTGCGCAGTCGGCTACTAGGTTAGAGCAGAGGCTCTGATGCTAAGTAGAAATAATTTTGATGGAATTAATTCTGTCATTCAAGAGTAGGGCTTCTATAGAGCCATACAAAATCTTTTACAAATAAACCCTAGACTTCTTCTACAATTTCTGTTTATAATTAGAACCCGCAAGAATAACGTACAAATCTCAGCAGAATTGGATGTAAATCCTCCTTTTTTTTTTTTTTCTTTTACTGGTTTACATTCCTTTCTCCGGCCATCCTTTGTGTTTTAGTGCTGGCTTTAGTTTTTTAACATATTAGGAATGAAAATATGCGCATCCATTGCTGTCATTGACTGCAACATTCTTGTCTAAGATATCTATAAAGCCTGTAATTGGTGCTCTTAATGTATTAACTTTAAATATTAAAAAAATGGCATATTATTAACCTCAAAAGCATGGTTATTTCATTTTTAATGGATTAATTCTAAATTGAATACTATAAATTAAAGAAATAAATGTGAACTATATGGGCTAGAGTTTAATATGTAGTCCATTCGCTTGCTGCGTTTACTTTAGGGTTTCAAATTTCAAGTCTGCCAAGCAACTTCTGATCAAATGAAAATGTCCTCACATCAAAGATTTTTTTTGAAATAGGTCTTACACATCATCCATCTAAAAATATCACCCTAACTTTCTCATCTTTTAGTCTCACTAGTGCGGCGATATACCAGTTATGGAAAGTTGATGATTTATCATCGCCAATAACTTAATATTAGGTACGAATAAGTACTCAAGGCCAATCAACTTGCAACCAAATTTAACTTGACAATAATGAAATTTCAAACGGTAATACACTGTTTAAAAAAGGTTTTAGTTTCCTAGCAATTTAAATATGATTTGGATGATTATTTGAGTTCAATAGTTTAATGGAATGGATCATGATTATGAAGTTCAACAGGTGTTGTGGTAAGATGCCTTCATTTACGTATTGTTTTTCAAGGACATTTTATTTTGATCATAGTTTCAAACAACCACAACATAATGATGTTTTCTTTCACGTTTGGAACTCATTAATAATTCACATAAGTGCTTGCTCTTGTTTGACTTACATTGGGAATGATATAATTAGTAGATTTAAACACGTTCTCTTGGACCAGATAAAATTTCTTAATCAGAAGTGTAACCGACTAAAATTAACTTGCAGCCCGTTTGTGTTTTTCTCAATAAATAGTTCATAAATTGAGCTCAATAAGCCAATTAGCTTAGCTTGAGCTAACCTCAACTCTACTTGTTAATTTGTAATTCTATTTAATACTACTATGTAATACATTTAAGGTATATCAACCCTCATTAGTTTGAGTTCAAATTTTTATAAAATTATAAAAATGATATTATAAAACTTATACCAAGTGATTTCTTTTTCTTTTTTTCTAATTTATTATTATTATTTATAACAACAATTATTTACGTTAAAATTATTATTATTATTTCATATTAAATGATCTGACTCATGAGTTTGACCCAAACTTATAGATTTCGGATCAGGCTCAAAGTCAATTAATTTTAAGGCTAGAGTTTTAGTCAAAAGTGACTCGAGCTTCGCTCAACTCTTTTACACCCTTGGTCTTGATTGAAAGCAAAGGGTAGATTAACTAAAATTGATTTCAAACATGACTAACATTTTTCTCTAAATCATTTGAAAACAGTCATATAACCAAATATATGCTGGATTAGATTTGCTTGTTATTTGACGATTATCATGCTGCAATAAAATTCTCTTTTTAGAAGGAATTTTTTTAATAGTCTCATAAATCCACAGCCCTTTATTTATTATTCTGTGCAGTTGAACGTGATCCTGATAAAAATACGTTTGGTTAGATTAATATAGATCTTCTACAATTTATGCTAATATATCTTTGATTCCAACCATGAACTAAATGAATTATATCATGAATCAAAGGTTTCATAGCTGCATAAGAATAATTTTCTTCAAAATTCCCCTCAAATCAAATTTGTTATTTGCTGGCTTTTTTGGTTTGGTGGAAAGTTTCTATTTTTTGTACATTAGGGGGAATACGCAATAACGTATATTGCCTTGTTGCAGGCTTTCAAAGGTCACAAGAGAGGGAAAATACATTCAATCTGACGTTCCAAGGCAGCTTGCTTATGGAACAATGGTTTTTGTACGACAAGCCATTGTATCGGATGCTTCTAAAGCTCTCTCTAGGGCAGTCTGTATTGCAGTAAGGTATAGTGCTGTTCGCAGGCAATTTGGCTCACAGGATGGTGGTCCTGAGACTCAGGTACCTCTTTTAAACATTTTAAAATTGAGATAAGTGTCATAAGGGTCCTATGGCTTTTAGTTAGTCCCAAAATCTATGAAAGTGTCAATTTAGTCCCTGAACTATTTTAAAGAGAACTGATATAGTGCTCCCTTCGGATTATTTCTTCCTCATATTAAAATAAGCTAGGGACCAATTTGATACTTTATAAATTATGGGACTAAAATGACCTTTATAAATAGCTAAGGGGCTATTTTGACACTTTATTCTTTTGAGATTGTATTAAATTAAATTGGATCCACAATCAGAGGCCATATTTTCATTCTTCTTGGAAACTATATCTTTTACAGAGAAATTGATTGTTTTAGTTTTAGGAATACTCCTTGATGTGGGAGTTCCCTACTGGACCATTTCCTCGGCTCATGCTACAGTCACGTGACCGATCCGCAAACTGGACTGGACGCGAACCTCCTAGCGACCTGGGACTAGTTTAGAACATCGAATTGACAGCTGACCGACTTTAACGTGACTTTGGCCTCTCCTTTCAACAGCAGGCCCGATCCTAATTAATTTGATTAATGTGTTTAGGTTTTCAGTTTTTCTTTATATTTTTCTGTCAGGATAGTCGTCGATGTATAGGGTTTCCCATTCTAAGGCTGTATCTGAAAACGAGAAGGTGCTCAGCTGTAACTCGTCCTAATTGGTGATCTCCTTCTAAGGGATCGAGTGATGCTCCGACTGTAGCTCCAGCCACCACCATTGCCTTCCCTTCCCTGTTCGCTTCCCTCGCAGTCTCAACCCCGCACTTTCTCCTCCACCACTATTCTTTCCCTCGCCTCATTGTTTTGGGTGTTGTACAACCCTCTGTACTTGCTACTGTGACAGTCCCCGTACAACACTCCCTTTGTTGTCCCTCAGTCCACACATCCCTTCCGCTTCGTTGCCCCTATCTGTCCCGACCCTCCACTTCGTTGCCACTCGCTGTCCCATCCATCCACTTTGCTGTCACTACCATTATAAGTATTCTGCTTCTTTGCCAATGCAATTCCAACATCTTTTTTTGTCCCAGCAACCCACAACGCATTTTAGCTTCCTGTCACCACTCCTCGACCATCTAGATGATCTCCACCATCCACAACCCTAGTGTGTGTTTGTGTCGTTTTTGCTATAATTTTCCTTTCAAGTGTGTTTGGTTGTAATCGCATATTTTATTTTAGTAATAATATTTATTTTTCCTATTGTTGTTTAGGTTAATTCTGGTGTCATTTGGTTTCAAAGCTAGCTTAACCCTAATCCTATCATAGGATTTCCAGCATCTCCCTTCCCCAACACCAAATCCTATCTCCACACAATTTTTTCCCTTTGTTGATTTGTTGAACCAGGCACTCAACTTTTTTCTTCCACGCCTATATTATCTAGGTGCAACATTTTTCATCTACTCATACCTAAACCCTAATCATGCTACCGATGAGACAATAGTCGGACGCCGATCAGGAGTTTACCATTGGAGAGATACAACGACAATTCCAAAGAGTTCTACAACGACTTGGTGAAATTAAGGAGAGGAGGCCATATAGACGAGTCACTTGTAGTCACAACGGTGGCTTGCTAGATTGAAGGAATTATGTGAATCTCTTCCACCATACAAATGTCAGGGTTGGAGAACTTCTCCCCCTAAAGATGACCTGAAATATCTGAGAAGCCAGAATTTTGAAGTAAAAGCGAATTTGTCATATTTTGACAGTCACTTAGATTCGGACTAGTTCATCAGGTGGCTCCAGATCGTGGAACTTTTCTTCGAGTACTAGGACGTCCCACCAGACAGAATGATAAAACTAGCTGCTAGCAAGTTAAAAAAGAGTTGTTTTGGTGGGAAAATTTAAAGCACATACGTCAACATGAGGGAAAGACAAGATAACTACATGGTCCAAGATGAAACATGAGATGCAGTGTCAGTACATATAGTTCATTACATACCGCATGTTCAGACCCCAGCTTCAAAAGTGGAGAGACCGCATCTCCTGACAACCACCACATCTTTCAGGCAAGGTTTAAACCCATAATCTTACAACCAGAGTACACTTAGAGGAACATCCCAACCAACCCCGCATGAGAATACACTAGTTATGAGTGAAAAACAGTTGGAACCAACCAACAGTCTTAAATCTATCTCAGTCAGGAAGTGTTTCTAGTGCTACAGATTTGGACATATTGAATCAGATTTCACAACTATAACAACAATCTCTTTCACTGTTCAATGAGCAATTGAAAAAAGTGACAATGACACGGTAGACACGAAAAGGATCGAGGACATGAAAGAGTACCAAATGTTAACTAATGAGGAGTTGTCGGTAGATCCATGAGAGAGACTTCAGCTGAGTTGATAGTAGCTGTGCTAGAAGGTACTGAGTCTGAGGTAATATCTTTCATGCAGAGTGAGATTGTAGTGCCTCGATCTAATGCTTTGCAGTTTTTGAGAAGAGCATCAACATGATTGATATTAGATGTCCAAAGGGATCATGAGTTTGAAAATTCGATATCAGACACAAGGCAACACCAAATAAGAAGTTTAGACTTTTCAAACATATAGGCTGCTTCCCGGGTTGCCTCTGTTGAGAAAGGTCTAGTATGTCCGTGATGAGACTCTTTTTATGCCACTTTTGGTAGTCCATAGGGAATCAGTTGTGTGTAAAAATTTGTTTAGTAGTGTACCCCCCAATAAATGATTTGGCAGGAGGGATGAATTATAGATTTGAAAATTTTCTTAGGAGTTTGGTGGGGAAGAAAATTCTAAGGTGGGACTTAGGTCCTTCCCGAGAAGATGAAGATGTCTCTCTTGGGTGGTTTCACTTTCGTGTGACCCGACCTACCGTAGATATTGTTTTAGAGTTGATTCCTTCCTACAAAATTGTTTATCAGGGACATCTAGCTGTGTATGAGGTGTGGGAAAGTCTCATGAGAATCTACGTCGTTATGCAGCTCAAACTCAAACTTAATTTGAAATTTGGCTCAATACTTATTCTATCAAAATGTATTTTTGGAATCATAACGCTTACAAGATTGAATTTTCGGGAGTCGATCTGATTGCTAGCATGGACAGATGTGGGTTGAACTATAGATTTGAAAATTGTCTTGGGAGCTTGGTGGGGAAGAAAATTATGAGACGGTGCCTGGGTTTTTTCCGAGAAGAAAATGAAGAGGTCTCTCTTGAGTGGTTACACTTTCGTGTGGCCCAATCTGCCATAGATATCTTTTCATAGTTGATTTCTCCTGACATACTTGTTTATTAAATACATCCAGTTGATTATGAGGAGTAAAAAACATACTATAGATTTACTTGCTTGGGATTTGGCTCGTGAGAATTTACATCATTATGTAGCTCTAGCTCAAGTTATGCTAAAGTGGATGTATACTTATTCTGTCAAGATGTGTTTTGGAATGACAACGTCTTTAAGATTGACTTTCCTGATGCTTGCAACATTTCCACTACTTTCAAAGGGGCCGACATGACTGCTATGAGAAAATAGAAGCTTTGACAGATGAAGTCGAAGCTCTCCCAATGCCAGAAGACTGGCGTGATAGTTCATTGAAGACCATTTCACAACTCATGCTACAGTCTCACGACCAATTCACGAACTGGACCGGACGTGGAAACCTTCCAGCGACCTGGGGCTGGTTTAGAACATCGAATTGAGGGTCGACTGACCTTTAATTAGATTTTACGTCTCCTTTCAACGAGGGGCTCAATCCTAATTATCTAAGACTTATATTTTTTGTTCATGTGTTTAGGATTTAAATTTTTCTTTGTATTTTTGTCAGTACAGCCTCCGACGTCCAAAGTTTTTCCTTCTACAGCTGTATCTGAAGGCGAGAAGGTACTTCAACTGTAACTCATCTAGGTGGTGATCTACTTTCAAGGGATTGAGTGGTGCTCCGGCTGCAGCTCGTTCTCGAAGGGGTATTTATTCTTTCCAAACTCTTCCGCAATTTTCGCCGCCGCCGCCATCGCTATTGCCTTTTCCCTCCCTCCTCTTCGCTTCCCTTGCAGTTTCAGTCCCCCACATTTGCCACCGCCATTGTTCCCTCCCTCGCCTCGCTGTTTCGGGTGTTGTCCAACACTCCATACTTGCTGCAGCCACCCAGGAAAGCATCCTTGCTGTCTTTTCTCTGCAGTCCCACCACTCAGTCACCTTTTTCGGTCATTCCAGCCATCCCCTAACTACTGCAGTCCCGGGATAGCCATCCCTTTTCTGTCTCGCAGTCCGCAATCCTTCCCGTTCACTGCCCCTCGGTGTCTTGGCCCTCTACTTCACTGCCCCTTGCTGTCCCAGCCCTCCACTTCGCTACCACTGCCATTCCAAGCCTTTTGCTTTGCTGGCAACGCAATTCCAGCCCCTCCTTTTGTTGTCCCAACATGGCCCGCAACCTACAACCCATTTCAACCTCCTATCACCACTCCCCGCTCATCCTGCCGATCTTCACAACCCACGGATTGAGCCCTATTGTGTGTTTGTATCTTGTATGTTGTAATTTTTCTTTCAGGCGTGTTTAGTTGTAACCGGTCATTTGCTTTTAGTAATAATATTTATTTTTTCTATTGTGGTTTGGGTTAACTCTGGCGTCACTCCAATTATGCATCACTTGACATGAAGTGAACATTTACTCATTGGCGATATAGATCTTAGGAAAAAGACTTGGAAATAAATACAACAGGTCAACACAATATGCCAATTGATCCAAAGTGATTATCGATGATGTTTTCCATTCCATTAAAGCTTCCTTTGCTTAACTTTAGATTATATCTAGCTTTTAGAAAACTGAACCAACTATAAGACTACAAAGTGATTATCGATGATGTGTACCGAAGTTGTCGTCTTGATTTTCAACTATTCCATAGAGGAGAAAAGATGTGGAAGCAATAGAGTGAAAGAGGGCAAAGCTACAGAGCAAATTTATATATTCAAGTTTAATAGTTTAGATGATAGCTCTTCTAACTCTCTTATGAAATTACTTCTGTGAGATATCCCACTCCTCTACATTTGTTATCTCTCTTTCTCTCTCTCTATAAAACAATCTTTATCTGATAATTAAAAAATCATTTTTTGTAGGTGATTGATTACAAGACTCAACAAAGCAGGCTTTTTCCCTTGCTTGCTTCAGCATATGCATTTAGGTTTGTAGGTAATTGGTTGAAGTGGCTTTACACGGATGTGACACAAAAGTTACAGGCTGGGGATTTTGCAACTTTACCCGAGGTGCATGCATGCACAGCTGGTTTGAAGTCTCTGACAACTTCTGTTACTGCTGTAAGTTCTAATCTTCCCATCTATTTCCCTTTTTTTATCTTTAGCCATATAAAAATTTACTCCTACCCGCTTCATAATTTTATAGGCTGGAATTTTTATAGGGGTACTTACATACAAACCACCCAATTCTATATATTTACACATCTAACAACTATTTTTTGCTTTTTTTAACACATTAAAAATATTGCAATTTTAACTTTTTATATTGAAATACATCTTTTCATGCATAGGTATGGTGGCATATATGTAAAAATTGAAGTTTAGGTGGTGTATATGTAAATACTAAGAATTTAGTGGTATGCAGGTAAAACGAGCCCATTTTATGCTGTGATCATCTCAAAGATTTAGTACCTAATCTCATACATGGCCATCATGCAAATCTAGAGAGAGAGAGAGAGAGAGAGAGAGAGAGAATGGATAACAGTTGGTAAAAAGATTTTTGATGATATGTTTAGAACCACTTACAATAGTAATGAATGAAATGAAAATTGGGGAGTCATAAATTGGCACAATTTGTTAGGATAAGGCTATTAATGAGGGTCATGTAATTAGGAATGGAATCAGTATTGCATATATTAGTGTATAAAAACTTTACGCGAACTATTAAACAACATTATGACGTTATGGATGGGAGCATTTTACCATAAATTTAAAGGAAAGTTCAGCTTTTTTATATAATTTTGAAATTATTTCAAAACGAAACTTCTTGCTGATCAATTTTTTTTTCATTTACCGTTATATCATGCTGTTCATTTAAACATGAATGTAGTCATTTGCTGTGGAAACAATTGCAATGAATGCTCTGCATTAACTTTCTTAGAAGAATAGTCAATACGGTACTTCGAAAGATTTATTTTTAAGTTGTTATTAATCACACAAAACATTTAATTCATGATTCATAGATTCTAGTTATAGAAGCAGTATATTTCTTTTTTTTTTTTCATCATTTAACATTCACTTGTAAGATTGGCACGATTCTGTATAGGCTGATGCAAGTGCACGTATCGTGTAAGTTATATAATGAAAATGAGTCCGAAATTGTCTCACGGGGAAATGAGGTAATAGAAGTTTGAAGTAAAAAAATAACTAGTTTCACAAATCCTAATTCTATTCCAAGAAATGGAAATTTGAAAAGTATTTTTTGTTTTTTATGTCTAAGGGATCTTAAATGCAATTGAAGTTTCCTGAAAGCAAATAGTCACTCAAGAAGAACCGCCTCCACCTGCGCCAGTGAAAGAGACACATGACCAAGTGAAAATTGAGGGCCTTTATAAAGTGGATTATAACGTACCAGCTCATTTTAGGAGGTTGCCGACCAAACTAAGCATCTACGATGCTCTGATCCTGTCAAAGTAGATGAGGGAAGCTCTGGCCACGATCCTGCTTCATCCAGAAATTTGCTTAGCTCAATTGGCCAGCACATCCTCAGATGAAGTTTGTTCGTTAAAGGAGCAGCCTGGAGTAACCTTCACCAATGAAGATTTGTTGCTTGGTACTACCAATCACAATAGGCCGCTCTACATCTCTGTCAGCATCAGTAGATTTATGCTCTCTCGAGTTTTGGTAGATCCAGGAGCGTCGCTCAACTTAATGAGTTTACGGGCGCTAGCATATTTGGATATTGACGCCCAGGAGCTTACCGCCGATAAGATGATGTTAAGAGGATTTAACCAGAAAGGGGAGAGAGCTTTGGGATAAATAGGTATAAATATTGCAAGATGTCAATCAGGAGTAAAAAATAATTTTAGGCATCCGTCAATAGCAACAAAATTACTCATTTGCAAAACCTAAGTCATATGTCTATACTCATAGGAACAAGACAATAATCGAATGCTTCCCTTCTTTATGGTTTGCGCACAGGAGCCAAGCACCCCCAAGTCTCCTCTCTATCTTGCATTGTGGAGAAGAGGCCCATGCCTTCTTCCCTATTCACATTAGGAAGTCAAAACCCCTTCTCTCTCGCAATCTAGCCGTGGTTAGGGCTATCTGGAAAGGAAACAACGAGATCGTTGCACACGAATATTTCTTGAATTTCTTCTCCTTGCTACGCTCAACCTTATCATAGGAGACCCCGACCCTCGGAAAAGAAGTGATAGGATCACAACCTGCGAAGACCTCCGAAGCTTCTTCACATTCAAACCAAAGGCCAAAGCCTAATTTCAACACACGATTCTTCCATGTTCGTTATAATCGCACTCAACCGAAGCCTCTGTTTGCGTGTGATGCAAAAGTTGTTGAAACCCAGTCTTTCTGCTAATGGGAAACCAATGATGAGTCACAGCTAACGAAGTTCTCCTGTGCCCTTCATTGGAAAAGCAACGACGGGATCGTGGCATGCTAAAACCTCCACTCTCCTGCTTCATTTTTCTCGTGACCAAAATCTTTAAGATACGATTGCGACTAAAGCCAGTTAAGAAGCCAGTGAAGAGACAGCTACATGCGATGAACTCTGATGCTCCTTTATATTCTAATCGAATGTCAGGACAGGATCGTTGTGGACGAAGACTAAAATTTCTTCACCTGTGCTTTGCTGGAAATGTTGTGACGAGATTGCGCCATATAACAGACTCCAAAGATCCTTGCTCGCTTCGACCAGCCCTTATCATGCGATATAGTCAATGAGAAAGCAATAATCGAATAGCTGGATAAAAAGACTTCCTAAAATTTGTCCTGCTTGAAAATTTGTGTTTTCCCCACAGCGCATCTTATAGACAGTTTGGTGGGTTAGGCACCCTTGATGTAGCCCCATCAACAGGAAAGTTGCGTGGGGGCTACCAAAATTTTGGGTGAAACTAGACCTATAAACATATTTGAAATTGGATTTTTCAAGACTTGCAAATGGTTTAAAAATGGAAATTGTTGAACTTGCAAATAATTTGAAGTATTGATTAATTGGGCTGAATAGTGTGACGAATAAAAAGAATGTGGCTTTTCAAAAAAAATAAAATAAATTAATCATTGAACTTAAATGTCTTAAATTTGCTGCAATGATGATTTGTATGAAAATATTGATAATTCATAAAAAATCGAGATTTTATCACACGAAGATTAAAAAGGAAAATGAATGAGATTCTTTGATTTAACTGAGAAGTTTTATAAATGCCTCTCTTGCTATCGTATTCACAAGCTGATTATGCAAGCGAACATCGAACGATAATAGCTCAAAAATAAAAATTTTGCTTGCACTTCGAATTCATGATATGTATGCAGACAATTGGAATTTTGATATATTTTTGGATTTATAAATACATAAATTTGAATTATATTTTCTAAATCAAATATCGCCACTGAATTTGCAATATTTATGCTAGCAAACAGAAGACGATTTTCTTTATAATCCAAAATGAAAGTTTGTGTGCAATCCATGCATGCATTTCAAGTTTTAAATGCTTTTTGAAATCTTGCATTTATGCCTCAAGAGTTTTCTTACTCTAACATTTTGTCTCAAAAGATATTTGAGTACTTTAAAATATGCATTTGCATCTTATAAATGCTTTAAATATTATATTGTGCCTTGCAAGAACATATAATGTTATGTATTTGCTCCTTGTAAATGCTTCAAGCATCGTGCTATAATAGCTTGAATGATATAAATTAATATAATCACATATTAGTAACGATATTCATAATCTCAAATTTATAAATCTGCTCGGACCATCTTGTCTATTGGACAGGATTGTAGGTCCTGCTCAACTAGTTCGATCCTCTTATTAAGGACTAGAGCCGACGATTTTAGTGATTTCAAAAATGTTCGATTCACATATATAAAAATTTGCAAATTCAAATTATCTAATATGATCCTCTTCATAGGGACTAAAGTTGATAGGATCAACATTTCATAGAACTTCAAGTGTTAAATTTCAAATAAATTTTAAGCATAAATGTTTCACATGCCCAAACTTCTCGATGATGGCCGAGTTAATAAAAGATTTTAACTGGAGGGGTCTATTTTCAAAATCAAGTTTCAACAAATACCCAAATAAATCCAACTATTATAATTCCTAAACTTTATACTCTGTAAGCAGGACTGAGTTGATAAAATTTGGATTCAATCACATGTTACTTCCGAACATAATCCTCTATAACCTAAAGTTGGCAATGTTTTAATCAAATTATCAGATCTCCGATGATAGTCGAATTGATAAAAGATTTCAAATAGAGTGATCTATTTCGAATTTAAGCTAAAAAAAATATCTGAATAAACTTAAATGCTATAAGTTATGAATGTGATTCTCTATAGCAGGACTGAGTTGATAATATTCACATGCAATCATATGTCAATATTAAGCCCGATCCTTTACAGAGATGTTGTAAAGTCAATAGGGTTCAAATCTCTGATTTGGCCGAATTGATAGAAAATTTCTATTTTTAAAATCAAGTTTCAACAAATATTTAAATAAATCAAACTATTATAATTCCTAAACTTGGTCCTTTGTAAGCATGACAGAGCTGACAAGTTTTCATGTACAAAAATATGTCAATATTAACTTTGATCCTTTCCAAACAGTATGTAATGTTGATATGGTTCAAATCAAGCAATCAAATCTCTGATGATGACCATGTTGACTGAAAATCTCAATCAGATGAACTTTTAAATCATTTTTTAAATCAAACTTTCAAAATAACAAATCAAACATTCAAGATTAAAATAAATCACCTAAAATCTTAGAACATACAAATCAACATATTCAAGTTAAAATTATTCACTTAAAACTTAAAGCAAAATTTATTCACCCTCCATAATAGTTTCTCGAAATTGATGAACTTTTGATTGACCTCAACTCACAAATAATTAATGTCGCATCGAGTATATCAATATATTCTCACTTAAAGTAATCTCACGGTTTGACCCAACAACTCTACAAAATATAGTTGTTACAACCAGAGTCCTCTAGCCCAAGTTTGTCTCCAAATAAAACCATTATATTATGGTCACGGTCATTGCCCATATGTTCTTCAAGAACTTTCTACTCTTTGAGTTGTGAATCATAATTGTACAATTGATTGACACAAAATTTTATGTTAGTTAAGGTAACATAAACCTGTCCCCTTAGACAAACATTTATCCCAGATCTACAAGGGTACCTTGAACGAAGCAACCTATGGTTGTTTACAAACATCTTTTAGTCAGGATGGATCGAACAGCTCTTCTGACTAAATCGATTAGGGACCAAGATGATCTGGGATGACGAAATTTTGTGATCTTGATTGTGCTCATCATTATTTCTCCCACTATTTGCTTTATACTCAATGTGATAAATTTAAAATTTTACAATTTAAAATTCCATGTCTATTGCTACTATATGTTAAATATTCAATGCTTAATGACTAATCTTAATCGAAAGTACTCTCCTAGTATCAGGAGTAGTAATTAATTACAGTGGCTTGCACTTACGTGGGAAAATTCCATATTAAAAAGTTAACAAAATGAGGACGTAATCTTTGAGTAATGTCTTATCAACATTCCAACAGCCTTCCATATTAAAAAGTTAACAAAATGAGGACGTAATGTCTTATCAACATTCCAACAGCCTTTTGAAAATTTGACCCGAAATAAATACAAATGCTCTTAACAACAATGAGAGTCTGGGGCGCAGAATTTTTGGAGCCCACAATAAGCATTTCAAAAATGGAATATACACATTTCTCTAATGATTACTAAGTTTAAAGGATAATCAACATTGTAAATCTCCATGTGCATGTAAGGATTCTATCAATATCTCAAATTCACACGATGTTTTGAACAATAGTATGACCACTACTAATTTATAAATTAAGTAGGTGATTCACAAACATCTTTTTAACGGTATCAAAACATTAAACCTAATTCAAAACATTGATTTTAATAAATAAAAATTCATAGGAGTGAGAGAACTTAGCCTAGCATGGGGACAAAAGAAAATCACATGCACATATGATTAAGTGTGTTTACATGGTGTGGAACAAGAAAAGAACAAAAATTAAATGATAAAACCCGCTGGTTATAGAAATCTCCAACCTTTCCACTGGATTCCTCTTCTTGCTCCATCAAACCAAGCAATATCACACTTACATTCTCATACAATGGACTCCTCACTCAACGCCCTTACTTTAGACACTCTCTAAACACACACTCTGAAAAACTCTCGCCAAACTCCCCTAACTTTCTCGAACCTCCTATTTAATAGTCCAAGCTCCTAAAACTGCTCTCCCTGCAAATAGAGTAAATTGCCTTCAATAGCAATCTTGTTGGCTCGCCGTGCCACGACCCTGCAATTATGGTGTTCCGGCTCTCAAACTTGGCGCTATGCCATTGGATTGCAGTGTTGCTACTCTAGGTTCCTGGCACCATAGCTTAGTCTTCTTTGGCTTTAGATCCATGAGGCTGATTGTTGATAGCGGTTCAATGCTGAATGTGATAGTGTTGCTCTGTGGATCTGTCTTATCCACTTGGGTTAGTATGACATCGTAAAGCTGACTTTAGGCTTTAGAACAGGCGGTGCGGCATTGGTCACCTGGCACCTAGACATCGAGCTCTCAGGAAGAAATTCAGTTGGGACTTTGGCTTTAGCACCAATAAACTTTGCTAAATTTTTATGATTTTGCTCTTGGGGGTAACTTGCACATAAAATATATTATCATACAGAAATTTTATTATTTTTCCTAAGTTTTTCCTCCCCTAATCCTATTTTTACGAGAAAATTGCATGTGCCAACTCATTGACTTGTATTTCTTTTTAAATAAACCAAGAAACTTTATTACATGTAATTCAGTTAATAAAGGCTCTTAATTCCAATGGAACATCACTGGGTTAGTTTTTATTATTATTTTTTTATTTTTATAGCTTGGTTTTGATTATGAAGTGAGGCTGTTAATTTCAATTTTGGCATCTTTATGATGGTTTATTTCTTTGGTTTCATTTTGCTTGAAATTATTGTATCATTTACTGGGAGGATAACATGTTTTTTGTGAATTTCCATATCTACACAATGTGAATAAGGAACCTTCTTCCTCTTTTTTATAGGATGGCATTGAAGAATGTAGAAAACTCTGTGGCGGACATGGTTATCTGTGCAGCAGTGGGCTTCCTGAATTATTTGCTGCTTATGTTCCCTCATGCACATATGAGGGAGACAATGTTGTCCTACTCTTGCAGGTCAGTTGCCCCCCCTTCCATGCTTAGTGCCTTGTAGTGATTTGTGAATCAAATTGGTTGTTTATGTGCTTTGTGTGTGTGTAATGCTGACCTCTGTTTTTTTTCGGAAGATTTACATACATACCACTCAATTCCTATGTATTTACATATCTATGCATGAAAAGGTATATTTCACTGTTTAAAAGTTAAAATAGTGCTATATTTTTAGTGATGTGAAAGATGCGGGTGGTATAAATCTAAAAAATAAAGTTTTGTTGTTAGATATGTAAATACATAAGAATTGGATTGTATGTATGTAAATTCCCCTTTTCTCCGCTACTGTCACACACATAATCATTAGACCTCGGTAAAAATCTCAGCTTTGCGTAAAATGACTCCGCAACTAAGTATTGGTTTTATATTCATGAGGCTAGGGTAAAACTACACATTTAATCAAACCTAATTTATTTATGTGCTCAAGGGATAGTCAAATCATATTGATGCTTTATCAAGTCCCGTCTTTGTTTAGTTTTCATGTCCTTGAGGAAGGACTGTATCATCTTGCAGTTTAAGGCATAACAATTGCATGAATTAGAATGTGAACTTTGTAGAAGCATGCTATCTTACACCCGCAGTTATGTATTCTTGGTAATGCATGTGAGAAAATATGAGATCAAACTCGCGTACAGTATATGATGGATATCAAATGATAGAGCACTCACCACAAGGGTTACTATCATAAAAACATATATATTAAAGATTTAAATGAGGAGAAAAGTATCAAAATATTCACTTGGACTCTTCGTAGGCGGTCATTTTAGTCCCAGAGTCTATAAAAGTATCAATATGGTCTACAGAGTCTAGAAGTATCAATTTGGTCTCCAGGGTCTTTTTATTTTGGCTGAAATGCTCCCCGCGTAATTCAAAGAGTTTGGAGAGTAATTTGGTACTTTTCAAGTAATTCAAAGAGTTTGGAGACTAATTTGGTACTTATATAAACTCTAGAACTAAAATAGCCCAATTTAAATAATTTGGGAACTATTTTGACACTTCCCTCTTTAAATGAGATTCAAGCTGTTAATGATTTTATGGAAATCAAACGCAACAAAATAAGTAGGAAACTTGGAGAAAAGTTGAGAATGGATAGAGTGAACAGAAATGAGAATTGAATCAGCTAGCCGGGATTCCAATATTTTCTGACACGATCAAATAAATATGTTACATTTAAAACTGTTGTTTCAGAAGCTTGAAACTATCGAAATGTAAAATATGGATTTGTGGTTTGCACTGTGTGAACAATTTTTTTTGTTTTTTTTTTCAGACGATGATCCAATGGCAACGTAAGTTGGATTGACTGTAAATCTTGTTTTCCATCATCTGAGAATATCCTATGGTTTGTTGTAATGTACCATAAGTTCTATTAGTATCATGCATCCAACTAATAGCTGATTGTCTAATACTTACAAATGCGGTGAACACAGAAAACTAACAATTCTAAATATAGAAACACAAATAGATGAAATTAAATCCTTATTCAAAATATAAAATAGGACGCAATACAACTTAGCTTTTGCTCCCAAAAATTGTGCACTTTCGCTTTCCACATTGCTTTTCTTCAGGTTTGATGTCTAGTTCTAGGACTCGGACATAGAAAATGAAAAGAAAAAATCCTTTCGAGATTTATTGCATTTTGGTCGGCCTCCACATTATTTAAAGCATTATGGTTTTAATGCAACTATAAGAAATAATGAATAATCTGCAGTAGCTGGGTTTAAGTTTGTATGCTTCCAAGTGATTGGACTGTGTTTTTTTATTGGCAGGTTGCAAGGTTCCTCATGAAGACAGTTTCTCAGCTTGGATCTGGAACGAAGCCCACTGGTGCTGCGGCATACATCGGCAAAGCTGAATATTTGTTGCAGTACAAATGCAATGTTCGAAAAGGTGGAATAATTTTTTTGTTTTAATTTAATTTTCATTCAATTTATTATGATTCTTTTATTGTCTAAAATGATCATTTTTCATCCTGTTCAGCTGAAGACTGGTTGAACCCTTCTGTCATCCTCGAAGTATTCGAGGCCAGGGCAGTTAGACTAGCAGTTATTTGTGCTCAAAATATAAGCAAAGCATCCAACCCAGAAGAAGGTTGCTTTACATTTTTTTTTTCAATATTGTCTTTCGCGTGTTAATATTTTTTAGTCAAAATAGTCTCTTAACTCTTTGCAAGGGGCATTTTAGTTCCGTAGTCTATAAAAGTGATAGTTTAGTCCCCCGATTCGTTTATTATGGGCTGAAGCAGTCCCCATAATGTAATATAGTCTACAAAAAACTATTTCAACCTTAATTTAAAGAGTCTGAAACTAATTTGGCATTTTTATATACTCTGGGACTAAAATGGTCCCATGTAAACAGTAAAGGGACTATTTCGACATTTTACTCTTAGATCAAATGTGTTTATTTTTCCTTTTAAACTGGATCATTGTTATACAACTTCCTTTAATCAAATGAATTAGAACTTATGCATTCTTTTTTCTCAGGCTTCTCTGAGCTATCTGCTGATTTAATTGAGGCTGCTATAGCTCACTGTGAATTAATCATTATATCCAAGTGAGTTGTTGCTAACATGTTTATTCTATATTCACCATTTATATTTATGAAAATTTTGTTTCCTTCCCAATTTCCAGGTTTATTGATAAGGTTCAGGAAGACAATGAAGGACGTGGGATTAAGGAGCAGCTACAGATCCTCTGCAACATATACGCACTCTCTCTTCTTCACAAGCATCTTGGTGATTTCCTCACAACCAATTGCATTAGTTCTAAGCAAGGCGCCCTCGCAAATGAGCAACTTCGGGCTTTATACACTCAGGTAAAACTGTAAAAAAAGTTCTTTGTTTACAAATAGCTCGTGTTTGGCTTGCAAAATAATTAATGTTTGATTTATTCGTTAAATAAGTGAGTTGTACTTGAATAATTTTTTTGAACTTGATTTTATAAATAATCTTAACATGAATAAATTTTTGTTCAATCTTGTTTTACTTGTATTTGCTCAAATTAATTAAATAATTAAATAAATAATGTTATTATAATACTTTTTATATTGATTTTTATATAGTATTAAACAATTTATTAAATTTTATAATTTTTTAAATCATTTGGGATGATTTTGAACCAAGCACAAGTTGTAACGAACAAACGAATTCAAATTGACATGAACATGAACATGTTTCTCACAAGTCATTTTAGAGTAAAAAATTTTTTAAACGAGCCGAACATGAACAGGGGCTTGCTCATGCTCTGCTCCTTTCATCCTTACTCGGTAATGTTATCTCTTTTTGGAATATAACAGCATTATTTGTTGTCAAATCCAGTTTTCAATGTGGATTTGTTCTAGTTAATAAAGGTTAGGAAATTCTAAAGAACTTTCAATCATTTAATCTGGATGAGTCTCAAGGTTATTAGATTATTTTGAGATAAATGAAATGTAAATTTAAAATGACTATTCACACTTCTCACTCATCTCAAATCAAATCAAACCTTATTTTTTTAATTTTTTTGTAATTCATTATTCTTGTTGCTATTATTCTGTTGAAAAAAAGAATTGGGTTGTAAGAGTTTCTATATTTGCGAGGTTTATTTTAAGATGAATTTGATATAAATTTTGATTGATTATTTATATATTGCACTCATCTTGAAGTAAATCAAACCTTCATAAATCCCATTCCGAACCAAATTTTCTCCACTCCCAATTTCCTTAATCGTAAAGACCTCAAACCTGCTCTTTCCTGATATCTTAAACAGCTTCGGCCAAACGCCGTGTCTCTTGTGGATGCATTCAACTACACCGACCATTATTTGGGCTCTGTTCTCGGTCGTTACGACGGCAATGTTTACCCAAACCTGTATGAAGAGGCATGGAAGGATCCTTTCAATGATTCTGTTGTGCCTGATGGCTACCATGAGTATGTTCGCCCTTTACTCAAGCGGGAATTGAGATTCTCAAGACTCTAAAAGGGCTTCGCGGCCATTATTTACAGAAAGGGGTCAAATACTACTCGTTTAATGTGTAAGATGGTTGATGATATCTCAAGTTATTTACTTTTTGTTTATTTTCAAGTAGAAATTTTTGCATTTCTTTGTTAATAATTCATGATCAGTTCATGATCAATTCTGTCAACTGACTTTGTGTGTCATTGGGTTTATATACCGAGCTCTTGTTTTTCGCTTTTGTTGCTACAACTCTGAAAATCTACCCGTGTTGTATAATGTTTATGAATAGTGAAAATATTGATTATGTTGTATGAATGATGAGGAATGCATGCATCTATGGAAAGATTTGTTGAGTATTTATGGATTGGTTGATGTGTATATAACTCCATATCGGTGGGTAAGTTGATACATTTATTGAGATTTAGATGACAAATGTTGGTCTTCAAAACTATGTTAAGGCGTAAGATTGGTTGTGATATTTTACATATGATTTGAGATAGTTTATATGACTTTTAGTGTCTAAAATGGTCCTCTGACTCTTTGTATGGTCCATTTTAGCCCCCTAGTCTATAAAAGTGCAAATTTTGTCCTCTTTTTTTTAAAATGAGAGCTAAAATAATCATCCATAAGACCTATTTTACCTCGTGAAGGACTATTTTAGCTCATAATAAAAGAGTATGGATTAATCTGACTCTTTATAAGACTCTTGGATTAAGGTGACCTCATATAAATATTCATGGAACTCTTTTGACACATATTACTTATTTGTGGAAATGAATATAGAATGAAATAAATAGTTATGTTATATATTAACTGATTTTTGTTTTTGTTTTACAGATTAGTGTTCAACAACATGCTTGTTAATGTCATGACATATATTTGTGTAACATCTTATATTGATGTTAATATAATATATGACATGTTATATTAATGATCTGCTGATGCCATGCAATACATGTTTATTTATAGCATATTTTATAATAAAAACAGCATGCATGCATGTAGTTTAATTTTAGATTTTATGTTGTTATATATTGGGCTTTGCACTTTTTCTACCATGTTTGTATATGTTATTTGATTTTAGGAAATTATGAAGAGCTTAAGCAGTTGATCTAATCTCAGCTTAATGATAATATTTTGGAAGACAATGTATGCCATTTTTAATGTGCATGATAATTGTCAGCTTTTGATGATGTATATCATTCTATGATGTTGATTATTATAGATGATTCTTTTGATATAAATTCTGTCATGTTAATGAAAGTATGTTTTCTTCAATTATGCAATTGTTGTTATTCAATGATGATCTTAGTGGTTCTATGTATATGTATAAATTGAAATGTTAAACTTATCAAGATAGAACTAATGTTTTGAGTTAAATTTGTACTTGTTCATGAATCTAATATGTACTGAATAATTCAATTGAAGCTATTATTTTCTATCACACCCCAACATAGACGGGCTCATTATGTTTCAAGGTGGAAACATTCTAAATATTCTTATTTTTTGTTGTTGGACTCTTAAAAAATATTAAAGTATACTCATAATAATAAATCTTCATTGTATGAAGGGCCCTAATTTTAACAAATTTGCAGTCAAACTTGAACATCTTGACAAGATAAATCCAATGATACTTAGGGTGATCCAATATGAGCCTAAATAAATCTAAATCAAACACTTAAAATATATCAAAAAATTATTGATCCAAAGGTCAAATGATTTGAAAATTTGACATTTTATAGCCAAATCAAGCCACTCAACTTTAGGAATCTAATGAGTCTAAGATCATTCAATTATGTGTCATTAACGTACCCAAAAATTGCAAAAATTATAACTAATTAAGGGAGATTAACCAATTTTACTAAAATTTTCCTGTCAAAAATTATAAATAGACACAATTATTCACTTGAGTGGAGGAAAAAAAGACTAGTGGGTTGATTATAAAAGCTCAACTATTGAAGTGTTCGCGGTTGCCGCCTACCTTCAAAATTCATCGTTGACCACCATAGTTCATCGTTGACCATCAAAGTTGATTATCGATCGCCATTAGTAATTTGCTACGGACAATCACGATCATTATATGTTTCTAACAATCTACAACTTTTATAGCAAATTATTGTTGTTGTAGTCATCAACTTAACATTTTAACCCCTCTTCCATAATAAAATGGAAGAGTGAACATTTGTATTTTCAATTTTCTAATGTATTGCTCTTGATTGGGTCAAACCTCATATTTTTTTCTCATTCCAATATTTTTTTACGTAGAAAAAAAATTGTGTTCTCTTATATTTTTTGTCTATGTATGTGTTGAAAAATTATAATGAGCTGGTGTAAGATTGTTCTGCCGCTGATAATTTTTCAACACCCAACAATAATCAAAATTGACATCCACATTGAGTAATCCTTTCAAATCTTGATATTCACTCAAGCTAAAGTTTCCCCAAAAAATAATAGCTAAAATAATATTTGGTATTTAGGGAACCCAACAATATACATCAATCTAATATAAAATTTAAATACTCAAGAAAAATAAATAACATGATATAGAAATCATGAACTAGGCAAAAGGAATGAAGCCACAAGCATATTTTAGCGTAATGCATTGCATATAATTATTGTAAAGAGAATTATTTAGTTATGAGTTGGTATTACAACACATGAGATAATCTCATTGAAGATAACTTCAATAAAATTTTCAATATTCAATCATAGTATATATTGTTTTAATCAAGCTTATCGGTGTCAACATAAGAGCGTAGCTCTCATATAATTTATTTGCTTATTTTATTTATTTTTTTCACATGAAGTATCATACTTTAGCCTTACAATATTTCTTATATATGTTTGGGTTATTAGCCATCCTAAGTAGTAGGTTGTATTAAACCCAAGCCAAGCATCATAGATTTAAATATATAATTAGAAGGTTACAATGTAAGAGCACTTTTGTCTTCAAAAGGCCTCAACTTTGATGTACTATCTACTCATATTATCTTAAATAAATTATATTAAGAGGCTTTTTATCTCTATAAGGATTCACATTTAGCATCCTATTTTTATAGGGTTTTAAGGTTTTGTTCTTGCTAGTTGTTAGTTTATTTCACAAAGAAGGCTATTTCTTGAGCATCACTTCAATTTCATAACTAAATATTTAAATGCATCCATCATTTCATTTTTAATGTATGGTTGGGAAATAGAAATTTCATAAATATTTGCAATCATATCTCTAAGATGAAGCAATTTTTAAAACCAAACTTATGTTAATACCAATTTATTTATAAATATTTATTGACAAACTATTCTCTCTATATACTCTTTTCTTATTCTTGGAGGTAGACTTTAAAGGCATATATTTCATGAGTAAAATTTTTTAGTATTTTAAATTTGCATATATATCACACAACTTTCATATATTTATACATATAATACTTAAATCTTTAATATCATATAAATAATATCACCATTATTATCTCTTAAAAGTGAAATATACCATTTCATGCATAGGTTTATGGCACAAAATTGTTGTAAATGTAAAATATCAAGCTTTAGGTATAGATATGTAAATAACTAAAAGTTGTGTGGTTTGTATGTAAATTTCTACCATTTTTTACGAACCCCGCAAGCGCAGTCGCCGGTCTCCGCAGGGTCTGCTCCTCAGTCCTTAGTTTTTCCGATGACGAACCTTCTCTCTCCTTCTCAGTCGCCGGTCTCAGCAAATGCGAATGCTTTATAGCTCTATTTGATCCAGTGATCCTGCGAGAAACTTTTCTATTACCGCAGCTACGAGATCTTTTTCTAAGATGGGTATCAGTCCCCGATCTAGGGTTTCTGCGCTATGGCTGATCCCCATGTTCTATTTGGCCTTCGGCGGTCTCTCATATTCCGTGGAAGGTCACCGTCCTAAGAACGTTCAAGTCTCTCTGCGGGCTAACTGGCCCGGAACTTCACTGTTGTTGGAAGCAGGGTGAGTATCTCAGGCTAAATAGTGCGAATTTTTCGAGTTTATTAGCAATAAAAAGATTGAAAAATGATTTTATTTTGCTCTTTTTCTTATCATGCTTTCAGTAAAAATCAGAATCGTAAATATGGTTACTTGATGTGGCTTTTCAACCAACCTGTTTTTTGAGCATTGTTCTTAGCTATACGTTAATGTGTGACAATTGATTTTGAAATTGTTATTACCTGCACGTCTTAGTTAAACTTTTAACGCAATCAGTTGCATTTTATTTGACCGGTGAGTTTGTTTAATCTTATCTGATGAAGATTATTATTATTAATTTGAATTACAAGTGCTTATTAGACTTTTGACTGTAGAGATTAACGCATGAAGCTATAGTTTTTCAGAATAATTAATATATTTAAGTGATGCTGGAATTCTTGAAAAGTTAAGTAGTCAGTGGTTGTGAGAGCAATGCCAAGTAAATGAAAATATGGCCTTGCTTGATGAAGATATTTGTGGCCCAAAAGTGAAATATGCTTAGTAATTTGGAAAAAAAGATGGAAATTTGAGTAATCTCTTAAGAAGAAAAAATCACACATAATTCATGTTTGGATTCGATTCTATTTACTTCTCTCTTTCTAAAAAAAAAAACAGTAGAGATGACAAGAAACATCCATGTTAAGTGTTTATGTGTCTTGTTTGGCTCAATCCGCTATTTATTTTTATTTCGGCCTTATTGCTATTTTGAAAACCTGTTATTGGTATATTCCTTAAACTTCCCATAGCGCATGTCCAACACTAAGAGCCTTAGCTAGCCTTTCTTAGATTTTTTTTGCTTTTGTTTTTTTTAATGATTTTGTTCCTTCAAAACAGAAGCATACTTGAAATAGAAAATATATTTTTTTTAATGGTTACAGGCCAAGAACTTTTATTTGTTTGCTAAATTTTTTGATTAAGTGATTTGTTTTAGAGGGCAAGAATAATTGTTACTAGTTTATGTTAATTTGAAGTCAAGAATTTATTAATCATATAAAAGGATAGTTTATGTGAATAATAAAAATAGTATAATATAAAACATTATCATTGTTAGATTTATCCCAACTAATATAATATAAAATGAGTTAAAGTTTTAATTTTATCATACAAGCAAAAATTGTTGTTATTATTCTATAATAAAATTTAGTGCTATAATCTTTGTTATCTTATTTTCATTTAGTTTTAAAATTTAGTTGGCTAAGTTATAAGTTTGCTAAATGGTTTTTTTTTTTTTGAGTTGATTACAATAAAAACAAATAAAAAAAATCTTAATTGTAATAAATTTTGTTTTTGAAATTATTTTATCTATTATTTGAGGGCACTTGCAATTTATTATCTGTTTTTATTGTAATATTTATATGTTTGTAATTAAAAAAGTAACTTATTTATTTTCATAATATATTAACATTATTATAGAATAATTGTACTTTTACATAATTTTATTAATAATATTTTATTTATCGATATTATATAGTAGTTATCATTTTAGTGGCAATACAAAATTGCTTTTCAAATCAGCATTGTAAAGCTAAGTGAGAATATTTTTATGGATTTGCGTGAATTCAAGAAGGTAAATCCGTTCAACTTTAAAAGCTGGAAACATGTATGCTTAGCAGAACATATGGGGGAATATATTTGATGCTCATTGAAAAAAGGATTACGTGTCAAACATATGGTAAAATTTTTAATTTCATTTATGTTGATTGCAGACTTAAAGTTAATAGCTATAGGGCGAGTGAAGAAAATCATGTTTAAGCTAATTGTATACTTTTATCTGTTATATTTATAGTAATAGATGGGGTGCAAATATAAATCAAATTAATTTTCCAATCAAAATTACTATGCAAAAATTTTTGGTTTCCTCCTCTATATTCACATCCCAGTAGTGTGGTGTTTGAATCAACAATGAACCTTTAGTTCAATAAGATTACATCAATGCAACAACAACAACAACAACAACAACAAACCTTTATCCCACTAAGTGTGGTCGGCTACATGAATCCTATTTCTCCATTGCGTCCTATTGAGTATCATTTTTTATGTTAGTTATGAAGATTTTTTTAAAGAATATTTAAAAGGAAGCTGCCATATATTTGCTATTTGTTGGTGTCACTTTTAATCAGTGAGACTTATACCGTCTCAAGTGAAAACATAGAATAATGGAAAAAAATTACTGTGGATAAGGGTCTGAGGATTACTAGAATTAAGGCTAATTTTATGATGTGCAATGTTAGTTGATGTGGAGTTCATAATTATGAATCAATTTTACTTGAGGATCAAGTGATACTTTTTTGGTAGATTTAGTTATGTTGGGCATTTTAAGCCAAAGTGTATGGTAATAGATAGGGATATATCTTTCTGATTTGGTATTGGGTAGTTAAAATGGAGAAAATATTTGATAAAAGAATATGATGGAGGCTTGAATATAAAATTATAACATTGTAATTTGGATATTTGTAACATGATAAGACATAAGAGTTTTATTCATCCTGTCAATAGCTATCAAATCCCTGCCAATATCCATAGGGAATACACCACTTATTTCCATTTTGGGGTGTCAATTAGAGGTTAATTTTATAAGACATTATTGGTTCTACAAAAGGATTTCATAGATCACTGCTTAACTTTGGAAAAATGCAAATTTGCAGGACAAATTTTGCATCAAAATTCTATGCTTGCCTTCTGTTAATATAGTTTGCTAAGTTTCCTGAAGTTGATTTTGGAAGCTGCTACTTGTGGCTCTTTTTTGAGGTATTCAACCAAGCTTGTTCCTATTCCCATGGCAAATGTTTGCAACCTTGTTTTCCACTCCGCTTATAAGCAAAACTTTACCTTTTTCTTATGATTTATTGCTTTATCTAAACAATTATTCTTAGCGCTTAGTTTTTACCCGAAGAATATATGCATTATCAAATTTTTTTATGTGTTTCAAAAAATTATATATTAGAAATGTGAACCTAATAATAACATCTTCGTACAGGGAGTTGCTCTCTAAAGAATGGAAAGATTTGTTTTGGGAATTCACTGAACTGTGGCTGCAACCAGACAGAGCTTCAAACTGTTCAACAGCTCGATGCTGCCTGGATATTATTCTAAATGATGGACAATCGTTTTTAAGTAATCGTTTAGGATCAATTTTTGAATTTTCTCTTACTCTTCGGTCAGCATCCCCAAGGCTGGCTTTATACAGGCAACTGGCAGAGGATTCGCTATCTTCTTTTCCAGTTGATGAAGAAGTTAACTCTACAACAATAGGGCTTACTTCAGATGGTGATCACTCTCGCTCAACACGTTTGGTGAAATCTGGACGGAGTTGTTGCTGGGTAGATACTGGTAGTGTGTTGTTGTTTAATGTTCCTGAACTTCTTTCATGGCTTGATACATCACTTGATCTGTAAGTCGTAGCCATGTATTTTAAGTTTCATTTATTTTCTATCACGCCTTCTTTGAAGATAATCCCTATAATTAGACTGATTTTGCTCATGAAAACAACAAACTCATATAATCAGTGAAGCAGACTCTCTGGAGGAGCCAGAACTTTTTGACTTTGATCATATATATTTTGGTTCACTTATCAGCAACAAAGTTGCGATTCTATATGGAGCTGTAGGGATGAAATGCTTCCAAGAATTTCATGTTGTTCTGGCGGAAGCATCAAAGAAGGTACCAAACTAATATTTTGTGCTCTGTAATAGTATCCTGTAAAAAGTTTTGTAATAGTATCTTGTAAGAAGTTTTGTTTTATCTAGCCTTGCTAACTCTAGCAGATTTAATTCTTTTTTAGCGATTTGTTGCAATTTTAATAAGCACATTGGATGTATCATTAACATGGAACACAAAACAAGAAATTTTCTTCTATGATAATAAAGTATAATCTAAAAGTTAGAGAGTTTTGGGTGAAGAGGTCTTATCCTTTCATCCTTTTACCAAGCTTCCTCTCCACTTCCTCCTAAATACTCATTCTATAATATCTGAGAAGTTCTCAAATTTAACTGAATTAACTGTGACGTTTCATTAATACTGCATGGTAGCTTTTCCCAGCTGCTTATGTTGACCTTTAAACATCTTAATTGGAGCATATTCTTGTGAATGGTTTGGTAGATTCCCTTTTTTGCAGATCTGCCTATCCGTAGCCATTGAAAATTGGCTCTTCCCACTAAAAAAAACTTATTAATCTCATCTCCTATTGTTATTATTTTTGGGAAGCGACGGGGATCGATGTGAGAAGGGCACAGAAGGTTAGGGGAAGGATAAATACCTTCTCGGAAGCGAGATACAGTCGGAGCATCACTCAACTTTTGGATGAGAATCACCACCTCGAATGAAATACAGCTGGAGCACCTCTCGTCTTCGTATTCAACCCAACAAGGGAAAAACCTGGACACTGATGACTGTCCTGATAGAAAACATGAAGAAAACTGAAAACCTGAAATAAATGAATCAAATATTTTAGTCCTAGTTATTTAGGAGTGGAACTCACTATGGAAATTAGGTGCCAAACCGATGTGGGAGTGCTGGTCGGCCCTCCCAGGTCTGGATCGGTCCAGACAACAAAATTGTGGGATTGGCTCTTGCTCCTCTTTATGAACACGTTACCGTAGAAAACTCTCGTATCAGTCTCTTGGGGTTAAGAGAGCTTCAATCTCATCTTCAAAGCTTTTGTCTCCTCATAGTAGTTAAGTCAGCCCCTTTGAAGGTAGTGGCCATGTTGCAAGCTCCTGGTAAGTCAATCTTGTAGCTGTTGTCATTCCAAAACACATTTTGATGGAATAAATATCCATCCACATTTGACACAACTTGAGTTGGAGCCGTATAATGATGTAGATTCTCACGAGCCAAATCCTTAGCAAGTAGATATATAATCTGCTTCTCTCACTTGTACTCTCATGAATGCGTTTGATAAACAAGTATGACAATAGAAATAAATTCCATGATGAATTTTATGGCAAAATGGGCTATACTGAAGGGTAACCCCTTAGGAGAGGCCTCTTTTTCCTTATCTCTGAAAGGACGTGCATCCAACTGTAAGATATTCCTTTCTGCAAAGCTCTTAAAGCGATTTCCAACATTTTGGTTCATCCATCCTGCCTAGCCATACGTTGGTGAGTACACTGCTGAAGTGAATCTAATATTGGAATAACTTCATATAATTTTTCAGAAGTGGCACAAAAAAGCCTCATCTCTGACATGTTGGATCTCCCTCAGTAAGGGCAACTCAGAAAGGAGCCTATATATCTGAAAAATCTGAATTTCTCTTATCTGGGGTTAATATGCTTCTGGTGTTGGTTTCTCGAACTCAATACCATCTGGGATAATCGTTGTTAATTCAAATGGAGTCTCTCTCATGGGTTTAGCTGAAACTACGTGCATCTTTCTCTCATCAAAAGTTTGACTCATTTGTGCTCTCACTATATTCAGTGTATAACGTGCCTTTGTCCATTTCTTCAAAAGCACTATGCTCAATGAAATAGATTTTTCTTGTGGTTGTGCAACATGATTCAATATATTCAAATCTATGGCACTTGAAACACTTTTTAGCTGGGAGAGATTTAAGAAGACTGGTTTGCTCCACCTGTTCTCTACTCTGAATTAGTTTCTCTTTAGGAGGGGTCGGCGTGGATGTTCCCATGACTGTACTTTGGCTGTAAGATCTTAGAGTTGAAACTTGTCAATAAGATGTGGTGGTCGCCTTGTGATATGTCCTCTCCACTTTTGAAGTTGGAATATGAATATCTGGTTTGTAGTGAGTTGGTAGCTATTGGCGCTGCATCTCACATTTCATTTTGGATCAAGTAATGATCTTATCTTTCCCTCATGGTAGTGTAGGTGTTTCAAATTTTTTCATCAAAATAATGCTTTTTTTAACTTGCTGGCAGCTAATTTTACCAATCCGTCTAGTGGGACATTCTGGTATTCAAAGAAAAATTCCACGGTCTGAAACCACTCAATGAACTCGTCCGGATCCAATTGACTGTCAAACTATGGCAAATCCACCATTCCCGCAAAATTATGACTACCAGATATTTCAGGTCAATTTTTCGAGTTAAAGGCTCATCATCTTTGAAATCTCTAACTTGCACTTCACCTTTACATCCTCTAACAGACACTTCATCTCTGTATCCTATGAAAAACACTTCATCTCTATCATCAAATGGAGTTCCGGTGACCCATCTGAATGGTCTCATTTCCTTAATTTTATCGGGCTGTTGTGTAGCACTCGGCGGAGTTGTCGTTGCGTTTCTTTTATGTTAAACTCCTAATCGGCCTCTTGCACTTGTCTCAGCGTTGGTGTGATTAAGGTTTTGGGTATATGTCGGGTTGATGTAGGGTACAAGGATTTTGAGTGGAACAGAGAGGAAAATTTTTTTGGGCATGTGTGTAGATAGGCTTGGGTATGGTAGATGCTATAAATCTTAGGATATGACTAGAGTTAGGTTAGGTTTGATACCAAATGATATCGAAGTTAACCTAAATTACAAATGGAAAAACAACTATTATTACTGTAAGCAAATAAGTGGTTACAACCCATACACCTGAAAGAGAAAATATAACAATATGACACCCAAAAATCTAAAATAACAACTGACACGACAGGGTTGGATCTCGAGTGGTGGTGGTGGCCGTTGTGGGCTTAGAAAGGTTGGGGCAAAGTCAAAAAAGTGCAGGGCTATGGGTAAATGTTGGCAAGGCGACATCGGCTTGTTGTCCTGAGCGGCAACAAGTAGGGAATTGCTGTAACCGACAATAGTCAACAAAAATTGGCATCAAGGCTGTTGGCGGCCTAGTCCATTCAACAATCGTGTTGGTTTTTCCTTGTCCATGTGCTCGTTCTCGATCTTGGGTGCACGGGCTAAAAGAACCTCTACCGGTTCGTTGTGAAGAAATGGTAATAGATCGTTGAAGCGCAGTTGAATGGTCTTGCTCTTGTGATTCTTCTGAGTCTTCAGTTTGATTTGTCATGACTTCACTGGAAAAGACAACCTTCTTTGGAGGTGCGTAGTAGGCGACGTCTTTGTGGATGCCCACTTCATGAACTGAAAATAGTTGCAACAAGTAGAGAATTGCTGTAACCGGCAGTAATCAACAAAAATTGGCTATTCTGAGAGTCTAGAATGAGAGAGGGCGGCAGTGGGGTGACTTTTTAGGGGCGACAACAAGTATGAGAAGGGTAGGAGGTGGCTGAAAATGGTGGAAGTGCATGAAACAACAATAAAAGTTGTTGTTTCGGTGACTGCAACGAGAAAGAAGCGATGAGGATCGTTGTGGGAAAGGAGAGGAAGGTTAGGGGAAGTATAAATACCACATCGGGAGCGAAATAAAGCCGGGCCACCATTCAACTTTTCTTGGAGAAAAATCACCACCTCAAACGAGATATGGTCGGAGCACCTTTGTCGGATATAGCCCAACAAGGGAAAAACCTAGATGATCTTAGGGTTGTTTTGACATAAAAAAGAAGAAAACATATGACAAAGGAATCACATAAATAAGCTCTAGATACTCAGGACTAGATATCCTTATGGATAGGAGACACCAAACGAACGTAGAGGGCTAGCCAGCCTTCCCAGTTCCAGACGACATAATCGCAGGATTGGCTCCCGCACGTCTTTATGTCTCGTGTTACTTTAACAAGCTATGCGCCAACACAGCTTGTGGATATCATTCATTGAGAACTTGTGTTATTTAACCAATATCGTTTGTAGAGGGCTCTAATTTAACGCTTCAATGCGAGGAATACTGGTACAAACAAAGGCGAATTTTCAGAGGAAAATTAGGACAAATAAAATTCTTTACTTCACCAATTCAAAATAGAATAAATAAAATGCATAAAAGATAAACACCTACGATTTGAGAGGTAGGCAAGTAAAATTCTTTACTTCACCAACACAAGATAACACAACTATTCTTAAAAGATAAGCACCTACAATTTGAGAGGTTGACGATCTCTCCCAAACCTAACTCTAGCCCACACATTTCGAGAGATAGGCCATCTAACCATAACACAAACCCTAACCCTAACCCTAACCTTACGACTCAAGATAAAAATCTCATCATAACATAACCCTAAATATATTGGCCCTATTTATACCCCCACACAATAATAATTAACAAATGATTAAACTTCTCTTAGACACCGATCTAACATTATCCCCCTCCCAAAAAGACAAATTGTCATCAAGGTGAAAAAAATAAAATTGCTACTGGATCACGTCTTATGAATCACACTTATTATTTGACTTGAATTTGGTCCTGACAATCAACACTTGATTGAAATAAGTGATCGGTCATTGACACTGCATGAGGATTGCTCCTGATCCTTTGCTTGAAACATCCATCTTTATAATGAAAGATTGGCTGAAATTAGGCAGCACCAACTTTGGTACACTCATCATGTTCATCTTTAACTTCTCAAAAGTCTGGGCCGCCATTTTCCTCCGTTGGAAGTTAATTTCTCAGTCAACGATCACACAATCTAATTACAACCCTCTTCACAAACATCCGGCAGAATCCATAAGTACTAGAAATCCTCACAACCTCTTCACGATCTTAGATAGTGGTCAGTCCAACATTGCCGCCACCTTCGATGGGTCTGCTGACACCAAGGTCTTACACAAACGAGTGATTGTGAAGCATCGCCATTTTGTCTCCCTCTTGAATACTCTGCAGTGTTAAAATAAGTTCCTTACAAACTATCATGCTCTTCTCCACCGGTCTCGTTCCCATCATTACTTTTATATCACCTTCTGCCTGGAAGATTGCCGCAACAAAAGAAACTGATGCAGTTTGATGTGGCCGTCCGCTGGGGTCCCACCCATCATATTTCCCTGTTCCATGTCAAAATTCTTTGAAGCGATCTTTTAGTTTTGTCATCCTGAATCAGATATTTCAAACTTTCTTTCTATGCTTCTTTGGTGTTTTTTGAAGCTTTCTGCATTTCATCCTTTTTGCTTCATCATTATCTTATTTGCCATTAATACCATGCCAACACCCTAGTCATCTGATTATTTTTTTTCCCATGTTAATTGAGTTAATTCATAACCATTGACAACTGTTATATTTTACTAGTCGTATATGCTTTTGAAGGCAGATGATTAGTCTGTTTTGTAGTATGTTAAATTACTTTTTTTGAAATCTTATTTAAAACAATTCGTTGGAACAGATGAAATGAAAGGAAAAGAAACTTATAGAAACATGCCTGTTACCGGATACTTAACTTTGTTTAAATTAAAGTGTTCCGCTTATACTTGATTTATTAGCAATTCCTTGCTTAAAAAAAAAAAAGAAAAGAAGAAATCCGCTTTCACCACTCTTTTTCCTTGGTGAACAATCAACAAAGTTCCTGCTGATCTTTTATGAATCGATGTGGTAGTTTAAGCATTAAATCTATGCTGAAATCCTGTCAATTGATGCCACTGCTGCATTTTTCATTGTTAATTACGTACATGCTAAGAATGAATTGAAATGTAAAATTATTCACCTCTTGATTTGTAAGTGTGGATCTGTAAGTGGTAGCTTTAAAGGATTTTTACATATTTTCTTATGGCGATTTAATTAGGCTGTTGAATCGAAAAAATGATGCAGTTATCTAGATGCCAGTTTATTTTTACTCATCAATAGTATCCATGACTGTTATTTAATTTTGATATCACTATTCTATTTATGGTAAATAGCCTTCTAGCACACTTCTTTTGCGAATGCCCAATTATCAAATGACTGTTTTTGTTTACTTTTTCCTTTTCAATAAACTGTACCGCATTCCATATTCTCACTGTGACAGTTTTTTGTTAACATTTTCTACGTTTAGTAGCTTGATTGTTTTGACTAAATTTGAATTTTTCTGTTTTACATTACCTCATCTTCACTCCTTTTTTTTTGAAATTTAGTTTCTTATGTTTCGTTGGTTGCTCTAGGGGAAAATTAAATATGTTGCCAGGCCTGTGTTACTTTCCGGGTGCCAAGCTGTAGCCAATAGCTATTGCTCTTTTGTTGGTGCTTCGGATGCAGTAAACTTGGGCGGTTACGGAGTGGAACTTGCTTTAAAGAATATGGAGTACAAGGCTATGGATGATAGTGCTATAAAGAAAGGTTAGTTCACACCGTCAATTGTTTCATGCTTTACTTGCCTTTGACTTCACAGTTGTGGTTTTAGTTCTTTATGTTTGTGTTGGTGACTTTCCACTGGTACATGGCTGTCTTTTTTTTAATGTTTTAAATTTCATTGTTTCTTTTACATTTATTGGAATTAATAGCGGGGAAGTGTTTATGATGCTGAATCCAATTGTTAGGATCTACTGAAGTTTTGTGATTCTGCTGTTGCTTTGTTTAAAATCATATAGCGGGATCTAGGTTTATGCAGAATTATTATATGTATTTTTTGGATAATCCATTACAAATGTGAAAAAATGTTTGTTTAGAAAATCAATGCAAATTTTTAGGCCTTCTAACCTGAATGGTTTTCAACTAAATTTTATGTTTGCCATATTCTTCTTTATGTTCGTTGGGACATTATTATTATTGTTTCCATGCATCAATATGTTTGATAAAAAGAAAGATATATATATATATATATATATATATGATTTGTGTGTGTATATATGTTTAGAATTTGTGAAGCTATATATCAATTATTTGCAGGTGTTACTTTAGAAGACCCAAAGACGGAGGATCTAAGCCAAGAAATCAGAGGATTTATATTCTCCAAAATCTTGGTTTGTTCTATTGTTTTTGAAACCATGGCACTTTTCAGATAAGTTTACTTATTTTGAACAAATAATTCAAATGATAATTATGCCCGTCGTCATTCTTTGAATTTCAGGAACGCAAACCAGATTTGACTGGCGACATTATGGCTTTCCGAGATTTCTTATTATCATCAACTATATCAGACACTCTTGAAGTTTGGGAGCTGAAAGGCAAAGTTTTTTTTAACATTGTGCAATTGTTTTTATTGAGAATAATGTTTGATACTCGCAACTAACAACAACTTCAGTAACCCTTCCCAACTAATAAAATTTCTGTGCCTCTTATCAACTGATTATGTACAGTTATATTCTTGTAGATCTGGGCCATCAAACTGCTCAAAGAATTGTGCATGCATTGGATCCCTTGCAGGCAATGCAGGAAATCAACCAGAATTTTCCAAGCATTGTTTCCTTGTTGTCTCAAATGAAAGTGAGTCCTGCTAGCTGTTCCACCTATTCTCTATAGCCGGCATTCATTTATGCGATCAAGTTTTTTGTTACATTCAGATTTCGAAGATTATAATCTGCACCTGTCTCACTAATGCAGCTTAATGATTCCATTAAGGAAGAAATTATCACAAACCAGAGAATGGTTCCTGCTGGCAAGTCCTTGATGGCTCTTAATGGTGCTCTAATTAACATCGAAGAAGTTGATCTTTACCAGTAATTTTCTATCCCATCTCTAGTTTTTCACCGGTTGCTTTTTCTTTTTTTTTTCTTTTGATAATTTCATGCTTAGACTTTGTATTACTTCTGTGAAGTTCTGCTTGATTTTCTTTATGTTTTTTCTCTTTTCTTTTTAATAGTAAACTCTTGTTTTGTTGGGTTTGATTTTAGGAGTCATTGTTTCCATTTATTATTTTGAGTATCACGTACTGAATATAAATCTAGTAAAAAAATAGACTCGGGTAACTTGAGAATGTACAATGAAGTGCAGAAGAGGCTCCAATAAGTTGGGCAAAGAAAATAAATATGTAATAATTATGAAGCAAATGAAATATATCGAAGTAAACATATCAGAATTTATGCAAAAACTTGGTGCAAAATAGTGCCATGTTTAGAAGTTATTCCTTAGGTGCACCTTGATGCTCACCTTACTGCGCGTTGAAGCAAGAATGCTTCAAGTTGTAGAGCGATGTTTTTTCCATGCAATATGCCTACATCTTGGGTGCCTTTCTACGTGGGGTGAGGCAAGAGTGTGTAGGGCTTTTTGGGTGCTTCTTTTGGAATGCGGCCCACATCTTTGTGTGTTGTTTGAGCATCTGAGTGGCACCTTTTATTTCCCGATGGGGTGTTTTGTGCCATATCACTTTTGATTTATTAGTCTTATTTAAAATTTGGAAGGGTTTATCCATGATCAAATAAATTAATTCAGATTGGTTTTGAGGTCAAATAACTCCACTCAAGGAAAATTAACTTAGAGCTTATTTGTACTAATCCTAGATTACTTTGCTTATAAAAAACTTTTGAATTTTCTTTGAAGATGATAATAATGACTTGAAGTAAAGTTTTCTTTTCAAGTTGGTCTTGCAACTTGCATTCATTTTCCACATTTTAGTTTATTAAAATAAACTTTCAGGTGTAGTTTTGAGGATGAACAATTGATTGTCTTGCTTGTTCAACTTTTGCATTTAATTCCTTTTACATTGTGTTTGTATCCTTGGAGGCTTGGACTTTGGGGTTCATTTAGGATTGTAGGTCTTTATGCTTTTTATTTGTTGTTATTCCTAAATTTATTTTATTTATTTTTTAAACTTTTTTAAACTTATTATTCTTTTTATTTAACCTTTTTTAAACTTATCATCCTTGGAGGCTTGAACTTTGGGGTTCATTTAGGATTGTAGATCTTTATGCTTTTTATTTGTTGTTATTCCTAAATTTATCATTTATTTTATTTTCCCATTTAAACTGGGAGATCTCATTATCAACCGTGAGTTACCTCATTCGAGGGGCTCCCATAAATTCAAAAGTACGTGTTATGCTTTTTTTTGTTTTGAAAATATTTTTTTAATTTTGAAAAATGGTTTTGCGTTGAAAATGTTATTGGATTTTTGAGAAATGGTTTTTTGGAGAGATCTCACCGGCATGAAATTTGATGTCGTCCCTTTCGTCTGTTCCAGGGGTAGCTCTACGATCATTTAATGCTTCGACCACATTCAAATTTACCTCGCAAAGAAACACCGAGAAGTTGGTATGAGGATTCCGTTCAACGAAAGATTACACATATAAATGTGCAGATGTGCATAATGAAAAGTATGTCAACAATCAAGTGTATAAAACATCCCCAAAATGATGCTTCAATGCCTCCAAAACAGTGCCAAAATAATGCCAAATTGATGCAAAAGCCGCTCCCAAACCAGCCCACCAAAACACCCCAAATCAGTGCCAAAATCAGCCCAAACCGACTCCTAAAGTGGCTCCAAAATAGTGAGAAATTTGAGCAAGAACATCCCTATGAATTGTCTCAAATCGGCTAACTAAAATGCCGCTAAACACTGATTAAAACAACCCCCAAATGATAGGTTTAATGTCTTCAAAACAGTGATTAAAACAACCCTAAATGATGGGTTTAATGCCTCCAAAAAAGTATCAAAATAAAGCTGAGTGGTGCAAAATCACTCCCAAACCAGCCCACAAAAATAGCCCAAATCAGTGCCAAAATCAACCCAAACCGACTCCTAAAGTAGCTCCAAAATAGTGAGGAATTTGAGCAAGAACAGCCCTATGAATTGTTTCAAATCGGCTAACTAAAATGCCGCAAAACAGTGATTAAAACAACCCCCAAATGATGGGTTCAATGCCTCCAAACAGTGATTAAAACAGCCCCAAATGACGGGTTTAATGCTTTCAAAACAGTAGGTAAACTAACCCCTAAGAAAATATGTTTAAACCAGCGACAAACAATGTATGGTATGCAGCGGAAGAATTCATTTGTCATACATGCAAGTATTCAAGTTTCAAATGTGGGACATGTAAACTCATAAGAACTGGACGTTATATATTTATGCAAGTGGAAACCTTGTGTTAAGCAAGTAAATGCATCATGATCGTGTGGCATGTAAGAATTGAAGTTTGGGTGTTGGATATGTAAATATATATGAATTGCGTAGTATGTATGTAATTCTTCCTATCCAAACAATTGATTCAAGTAGACTAACTCATTTAATAAACATAAGGCTCTTCACAATCTTGATAAAAGAAAGACTCCACAATGGTAAAAGATTTCAATCGTCACTAGCTTTTTAACCATGCTTAGTTGTTTATCACACTATATGATACTCTCAACTTATTATATAATTTAGCTAACTATAATTCAACTTACAAATAACCACAACACTTTACACTAGAATATAGAACAGATTAAAATCAATTGTTGTGGGACAGTGCTGTGAAACAATGCAGATTAAATAGCTTTGAAATGATTCCTGAAGTACAAATGAGAGAACATAGCATGCCAATGTAGAGTATAAAGGAAAAAATGTTAAGAAAGATTTACTAGCATGTCACTCAGTTCCTATGTACATATCTACCATCCAAACTTCCATCTTTACATACATGGCCCCTTGGCTTATGCACGAAGAAATATTTATTTTATCTTTTTTTTTTTATGCGCAGAATGGTAAAATCTTACAGGAAGCAGAAAAGAAAAAGAAAACAAGATCATGGAGACCGATTTTGTATAGTAATGTGAAACCTTCATGGTAGAAATAAAGTGCGACATCCATTCTATGGAAACTAGGTATTGAACCATGTCTTTACGTTATCTCCATAGGATACCAAAACCAGTAAAGAAAAAAACAAGAAGCTCATCACCTTGTGTTTGCAAAATATAAAAAACTTGAAAAATGTCGTGCAGGACTAGTGCAATGCCACAAGCTGTTCTCCTCTGCTTCAGCTGTTGCGCTTACAAGGACATGACGACGACTAAAGAATGCTTGTCTCCTCTTTCCGTGTTCGAGAGGAGGAAGGGGGAGTTCGGTCGAGCGAGGGAGGCTAGCAGGAGCTTCAGCTAGAGCTCCAATCGAGAAAGGGGAGCCAAGCAAAGGTCTCTGTGCCGAGGTGAAGAGGCGAAGTCGAGCGAGAGCGAGCAGTGCGAAGTGAGTCGGGCTTGAGAGAGAGGAAGGGGGAGTTCGGTCGAGCGAGGGAGGCGAGCAGGAGCTTCAGCTAGAGCTGCGATCGAGTCGCAGAGGAGGAGTGGGCGAGTGGAGGAGCAGCTTCGGTTCGCAGAGCGGGTGAGGCGACCGGGAGAGGCGAATCGAGCAGCGGAAGCGAGGAAGAAGGCAAGCATTTTTTGTTCACAGAAGCAGAGCGAGGGCCAAACAGAGGAGGAGCGGGTGAGTCGATCGGGAGAGCCGAATGGGCGGAGGGCGAAGCTCGAGCGGGATTTGTATCCCTCAAATTCCAAAATAACCGTTAAGCTTGTGTTGGGCAGGGTTTGAATAGTTTCCATAGGCAGAGGAGTTTTATTTGACTGGTAATAAATTCTAAATAAATTCAATTTGGGTGAAATTAAATGACTCATTTGAAATTTGAAAATTTAAAATTCAAAATTTTTTAACCCTTGTTCAGCCCAAGTCTATCCCGAATCGAATCCGAGTTAAACTTGGGTTGAGCTCGGGCCCGTGTCCCGCTAATTTTAAAAAAACGTGCATCGTTTTTCGTGCTAATTGCTCGCGCACAGAACCATAGCAATATGAGTGTGCTTCCTAGGTAATGTAGACGTATCCGACACATCCGTGTGGTCCGTTTTGTCATCTGATGCTGTCCGGACAAGTTCGTTGACGGTCAGGTCAATTCAAGTCAACATTGTGTGTGGTGCAGTGGGTGCATAAATTGCGGTGTTCATGAGTGTTCGAGTGACAAATGGTTTACTTAAGGCCTCCTAAATTCTGTGGGGACACATTTTAGGGTCTTTAGCCCTTGCAACTAAAAGTTAGTGCTTGGAACCACTCATGCGAGGTCTTCACAAAAATGGGTCAAGAATTGGTTTGAAGTTTTATGTGAGGTGGGTTCCAATACCAATTATCTAGGAGGGTCAAACAGGGAGAACCTAAAGCTAGATCCTAGGCTCTAATGAGGGTAAAAGAGGAACTCAAAAATGAGGTCAACACTATATTAAAGAATTTGAGTAATTTTACAATTTTAGAAATACTCTAGAAATATCATATATTAATAATAATAATAAAATATTATAAAAGAATACTATTTAAGAAAGGATTAAATTGAGTTGGTGTCTAGGTTAGGATCTAATATCATATTGCTGAGCCAGACAACAAACATTAAAAGAAGAAATAAACATATATTTCAAGAAGGAACTCGAAGGGGGAGAGAGAAGGGGAAATTAGGAAGAATAGACATGGAATAAAGAGGAACTGATGATTGGGGCTTGGGAAAATCAAAATTGATGTCTTCATCAATCTATCAATTCTTGCTTAATACAAAATTAGAATCTCTTATAAAAGCTCAGGGCTTAATATATATTTAAAATGCATTGCGCTTTTTAAGAATGGAAATAATGTTCTTATGGCATCTATGACATCTGTTCAAAACATGCTGATCGACCAAACTAATTAAGATGCAAGCACAGTTTAGTTATGATAAACTAATGATCTTTCTCTTGTATAGATGCAAGTTTCTTGTAATTACGAAGAAATTTTTTAGCTTGTTCTGCCTATTTATTAACCCTTAAAATATAAATGCAGCCCTTAAAATATAAATGCAGCGTCACATTAAGCTGTGTATTTAAGTTTGATCTGCTGTATTGTATGGGATACAAAGCTTATACGCTTATACGATGAATATGAGAAGTTTATCAATAACCTTTTTTTTAAACTGTGTTTGGAGCTTAAACTCTTTTATTTTTTTATATTTTTTGAGTTTAATTCAATTAAAATGGGGAGTTCTTAACTTCTTATTTATTGTTGGAATTATTTCTGAGTTCTGGGACTGAGCTATTTCTTTACTGTTGTTATGCTTAATATGTAAACCACTGTCGCACATCTATTATTCATTACTGCTGTAAATTTTTTGTTGTTTGTTTGGCAAAAATCTTTGACTTTCATATCATAAAAGTGTTTTTTTTCCTTGCAGGTTAATGGATATGGTTCATGAGGAGCTATCATTGGCTGATCAGTTTTCTATACTGAAGGTTGTTTCTGCTGTTTATTATTGTTGCCTGATAATAACACCACGTTAAAATTATGTATTCAGGTCAATCTGCATACCATGCTAATTATTCAACCGCTATTTGCCCTTAAAATTATGGTTTTGGCCTTTTTTATTTATTTAAGATTTAAATTTATAAGGGGTTGATATTTTCAATATAAAGATGAATAATTAATTTGATAGATATTCATGATGATTACTACATTACTCATTACAATTTTGTTATTACATTTTGGCCCAACTAAAATGGAGAAATTGATAGTGTGGAAGTGCACGGTAATTGAAAGAGGTGGTTATTGGATAGAAGGGGAGGGGAATTTGCAAATGAAAGAGAAGAAGAATCCTAGCTAGAACTTTATTTAAATTAAATGGTTTCTTTCCATAGTTTTTTAGATCTTTATTCTTTATAAGCTTATTTTTGGGGATTCAACAATCTATACTTCTTCCTAGTTTAAACTAACATTTTTTGTGCCTTGAAAGGTAATCAGGAAGCATGAGATTTTTGGAAAAGTGAAGAATTGAGTTTGTTGTTTTGAGTCGAGATTAGGGCTCTATGTGATGAAATTTTTTGATTATATACATTTGGAATGAAGAATTATTGCAAGATTACATGAATTGCAGTTTTGATGTTACGTTTACATTGTTGTTATTGTTAAAATTTTGAGGAAAAGTGGAGGAATGATTAATTTACAAATTATAACTTAAATAGTGATGAGTCTTTTTTTAGTAGGCATGCTTGGAAGTTGAAATTTTTATTTTTCTGTGCATAACCAGTAAGAGGTAATATATCCATAGAAACATTGGATGGGTAGACGGCGGACTCATTTTCATATTTTCAGTTCTTGAATGAAATGTTTTAACTCTTTCGTGTTCCATCACTTGATTAATGGTACCAGGCAAAGCTATCCTTTTTTGTCATGTCCTCACATAGTTTTATGTATTTATTTGCACCATCATTGTATCATATTTATGTAGTCAATTTGCTCCAATGGTATTCCATATAATTTTCAATGTTACTAAGTGACTGTTTTAATTTGTATAGTTATTATGTATGAAAAATAATTTGAGAAAAAATGTATTAGGCATTATGAAGTTTGTATGTTGGCATTTTGTTACATATATGATAAGTTTTCTACACACAGCAAGTTATAAATTGCACTTTCCCTCCGTGAGTATCATCTTGTTTGTTTTAACATGAAATCTGTATCCACTTTTACTAGAGGATTGTTTGACATAGAATTTTGGGGTTATGTAATTTGATTATAGGAAAATTATCTTCCGTTATGCTACATATTAGGATTTAATATCTATCTAATTTTCTCTAGATCTCTCCCTTTACATGGTATCAGGATAGTTTTTACAATGCATTTTATTTGTAGATGCTAACTTTGCTTTTTTAATTCATGAACTAGTGGTTTCATCTCCATTTGAATATGCCCATAAATTATTTATTAAGGAAGTCTGATTATTTTATGTTCTTATCCAAGTAATTTAATTTAATTATCTGTTAGTGCATTTTAATAATAATTTATCTGTTTCAGCTTCCACAAAATGCAATACTAAAATTGTTGTCTGCTCCACCACCTTCTGGATCCAATGTCTTTCGCATTGATTTTCGCTCGACTTATGTTCACTATCTCAATAACTTGGAGGAAGATGCTATGTACAGGCGCTGGCGAAGTAATATAAATGAGGTGAAATAAACACTTGTACTTTTCTATGGCTTTTTTTCTCAGAGCATTTTGCAAAAATCGATAACAGTGCTGCTTTTTTAAAACTGCTGCTCTTTTTTTTCCTGTTTCAAAATTAATAAGGCATATTGATGTATTTCTTAGAACAAATTTAATAATTATTGTTTATAGAAAATCCTATAGCCACATAATCTTTTTGCACATATCTCATAGCAATTCAAAATATTAAATTCGTAATCTGATCTCTTGATATTATTGGAGTGCATAAAGATCTGTGCATATAGATTATGCAACATGAAATGAGATGGATGTTTAAAGAATTTTTTATTAACACTGTTTCCTCGGTGTTCGCTCTAATTGTTCCTTCTTTCTCTCTCTCTTTCAACTTGTGTTTTCTTTGGTTCTTTTTCTCAGAGCAACATGTAAACTTCATCAAAAGTGCTGCTTTCTTAAAACTGCGCTTAATTTTTTCTCCTGCTAATGCAGATCTTGATGCCAGTGTTCCCTGGCCAGCTCCGGTACATCCGTAAAAATCTATTTCATGCTGTTTATGTGATTGATCCTGTGACAACTTGTGGAGCCGAGGCACGTTAAATTTAATTCCATTGTGGATTTCGTGTTCTTTTTGCATTCATGATAAATTGAATGATGAAAGTAGTGCTACAGTGATACTGGTGCTGACAAGTTCTATTTCCCTGAAATTTAGCAGATAATCAATATGGTTCTATCTATGTACCAAAATAGTGTACCGATGAGATTTGGGGTTATACTCTATTCTTCAAAATTGATAAAGCATATTGAAGAGAGTAAAAGCCGTCTTCCGATAGTTGCAAAAAATGACGACTTCAATGAATGGGACGACATTTCTAGTTTGGTATTCATTTTCTTTTTTTCTTTGGTTATAATTATATCTTCAGTTAATGAATTAAATAGTAGAAAAGTTTTTTTTTGGTTCTTGTTTAAGTTATCACACATTCATATTTTTTGTTATGTTATTGAACTTTTTTATCCGTGTTGAATATTTTGATAAATCCATTATCTGACCAAACCAAAATGGTAACATATTACCTGGATGAGAAGTTTGCGGCGTTCTGTAAACACAACAACATTACCATACTTTTAAGCATACATTATACTAAAAAATGCATTATCTGTTCATCGAGAATTATGTATGTATGTATGTACGTATGTATATATGTATGTGTGTGTGTATTTGTGTCTATTTGTCTCTGTTAGTCTGTCTCCGTGTCTTCTGTGTCAGTGTGTCTCTATCTCTGTTTGTCTGTCTCTGTCTCTGTCTGTGTATGTGCGCGCGCGCGCGCATGTGGATGGATGGATTTATGGATTTAGGTATGCATGGATAGATGTATGTATGAATGCATGGATGGATGTATGTATGTATGTATGGATGCATGGATGGATGGATGTATGTATGTACGTACGTACGTATGCATGGATGGATTTATGCATGCATGAATGCATGCATTGATGTTTTTATATATGAGTATGGGTGCGTTTGTTTCGGCTATGACTATAGAAAAACCGGGTTGAAAATCTGTTGTTCAGAAACTGGTGTTTTAAAAGCAGTTGGCCTGTTTGAAAAACACAGTTCCGAAAATGTTGTATGTTGACAAATGACTGAGATACATCTCTGTTGTCAACATAGTTTTGTGCGAAAAAACAATTATGTTTGAAAAACACAGTTTTAAAGTGTTGCATGTGGAATAAATCTAATTTGAATATATCAAGTTATCATCACTTACAACACCATAAGAGAATTTAAGAGAAAATAATATTCGAATTTTATACCGTTAAATTAACCACACAAGCATAAGTTCAACATAGGCTAGATCTCAGTCAAAAAAGTCGAGTTTGCATTAAAAAAAATCTTAAAAGTAGTATAGTTTGTCCCTCAAATTACATTAACATTATCAAAACAGATACAACGTTAATAGCAATAAAAGCAATGCTACAATTATATATTAAACAACAATAAGGTCTTTATGAGAAACTTCAAGATTTTGACATCATTTTTCACCTCATCGTCAACTGTTTTATCACCTCGCTTTTGTATTGCATCCCTGGGTTCATCATCATATTGAAAAAATTTACAGTCTCTATTCGTTAGATTTTTGGGATATCTATAAAACTTTCACCTAACATTGTCTCCTTTTTGTGCTGTGAATATAACACATAGAGGTTGCAATCACAAAATACAAGTCGATGTTTGATCCCTTAGCGCTTTTGGAAATGTTTGAGCTCATTTTCGATAGTACAATCTTGTACATTAATGATTAACACAAAAATAACGAAACAAAAGAAATGAATTGATTACTTGATGACTCTTCCGGAAGAGATTACCCATCCTAAGAATGGTTTCATACAAAGGTGTTTTACTTGAATTATGATGAATTTCCTACTGTCACACAAATGAAAAGGCACGTGAATGTTAGAGAGTTAAAATTCATTCTACTTAAGAAATTCCACATATAATTCTTATTCAACATTTTCTCACAACATTAAAATTAAGAAATGAAAAGTTACAATAGACGTGAAATGAAAAGATAATTTGAGTGCCCTTGCTTAAAATTATTTAAAATCAGAAGGAGATTACAAGCTAAAACCTCGATTGCCAGCTTATTCAAGAAAATAATTTGATAAATGTAACAACAAATTCAAACTGTAGATTATAATGACAGGTTATAATAAGAAAATCTCAGGGTTCAGAGTAAACACATGGAGATGAATAATCTTTCATCATAAGAAAGAAATATACCCATAATGCAGGGTATCTTGGTTGTCTGAAACTTTTCAGATCAAATTTGTGTATGTAGAAAAGTATATTAAAAATGCCATCCAAAAGAACTCCTTAGGTCAAATGACTCATCATAACCCTTTTAAAAACAACCACTTGAATAAAGGAGATGCCAAACTACAAAAGAGGCACAAGCAGCCAAAGCCATTTCAGAAGAGGTATCGAACTATAAAAGAGGCACATGGAGCATATAGTTCTCAATTAAAATCCCGGTTTTTGATTTGCAAATGCATAGGAATCAAGTGCCATGTAAAATGAAAATCAATTGTAACCAAAAAAAATAAGCCGTAACATACAGTTCTCAATTAAAGTTCCGGTAGTTTAGCTTAACTCACGCAAAATATAGGGCTCGCATGTTAAATTCTTCCACACAGCAGTATTAAAAGAACATTTTTCTCTATTTGAGAGTGAAGCATCTGTCTCTTGTATACTACTGTAGTGTTGTTTGCCCCAAATAGCAAGAAAACCTCACAACAAGATGATGATAGTAGGAAGAAACGGCTATGGTGGATCAAATGCCCATCTTTCTTTAGAGCAGGTCATTTCCAAATACCCAAAAAATAGACAAGATAGCCTCATATATTAAATGGAATTGCATATCCACGGATTAGTATCCATAAACCTCATTGGTAATGGCAGGACTGGTTGCCGAAGAATATCTTCGCCATCCAAAGATGCCGCATCGTCACAATTGGAAAGAAGATATCAAAATACATAGAAGATAGCAATCTATCTATCAATTTATCAAAATAAGTACATCTACTTTTGGATAGCTGAATTCAACAAACAAGATTTACTGCCAACAATGTATAAATGATATCTAATTCTAATGTAATTAGATATCTAACACCAAAACTTTTTCTAACTGCTCACTGATATGTAATTGTTATGTAATTAGATATCAAACACCAAACTTCATTTTTTTAAGCTATGTGCGCATCAATATGTAAATACATAGAGATTGTGTGGTATTCTGATTTGTGTGTTATAAATACATAAAGCATAGTTTAACAAGCCTGCAAATTATGCGTAAAGTGCCTCAAAACCTAGTACATGGCATGGGATGCAACAATTGTGACATAACTACAAAGTAGACATTGTCACAACATCACCATTCATATGGATATATATACTGGCATTCCTATCCACTCCAGTGAAAATTGGAAATGCTGCATCCACCAAAAAATTAAAGCATTCACTAATATAATAAAGAAATGTCCTAATTTATCTATAACTGTTAAATACAATGAACAGTGCCGCAACATAACCATTGAAAAATATGTAAATGCAAAAGCTTGGACATGCTGCACCATCACCATTGAAAAATATGTAAATGCAAAAGCTTGGAAATGCCACGACATTGTTATTCCGGAGCAGTTTCATGGGTAATGAAACCCATCCGCTCGGTTGCCATCGATATGAAGAACTCCCTCTTAACAGGATTTTCAAGCAGCTTCATGGAGTATAGATACAATTTCAATATTCTCATAAACTTTCACAGTTTCCTATAAAATCTTCATCACATCATGAATAGATGACGAGGTTTTTACGATGTTACTCTCAGAATATACATGATGTAAACAATTATGATATTTGACTCCTCAAGTAAACAAGGCTATTTTTTTATTGCGACCAACCATTGCTTTTAAAGAGGGTGGTGTCCTAGCGTGATTGTACTCACTGTGCTCATGGATGTCATGTGATGCTGTTTGAGTTGGTTCACTTGTGATTCTTGAAGAGTCCATGCATTACCACCTTGATACTGGAGAAACCCAAACACTAAATAAAATGCGAATAATAGAATTATTGCTGAAAAGATTACAATAGGACTCATCAAACAGAAAATAAAAGACCAATAAACTCAAAAGACATCTTAGGGTGAGGACGAGAGGTGGTGGTGCCGGCAAAACAGTGGTGCGAGGGCAGGCGGGGAACTTACGACAACAACATGGGTAGTTGGGGAGGTTTGGGACTATCTGAGTTAGGGGATTCCAACAGATATGGGGGATGTGGAGGATTGGCTATAGTGGCGATGTGGTGGGTAGGTGGGTTACTGGATTGGTGGCGTACATGAGATGACTCACGGGAAGGGCAAGTAGGGGAAAGTGGGTTGTAGGTTGTCTAGGCAACTGACCTAGACGATAGCTGTGCGGGAGGAAAACAGGGGCGATGTGGAGGTCGGTGGAGCGGCTGCAGGGAACCACTGGATGGGTGTGCTACTGGCAATGCTGATGGGATGGGGGAGTTATAAGAGGGGAAAAACCTAGCAACAAACACACATAAATAGGAGATAGATAGGCGGGAAACAAATCTATAAAGAGGAAGAAATTTCCCGTCTGATGAAAAAAAGGAAGGAGGGGGCCGATTCAACCCCCCTCTCTCCAATGAACCAGCTTAGGCCAAACCGGCTCAGCTTTTGGAGGGAAAATGTAGTGTCATTCTTCTAGGGTTGGGAGAGCTTTGGCCTCATCCGTCGAAGCTTCTGGAACCACATGGTACTGCGGCCAGTCCTTTGGTAGGTTGATCATGTCAATGTAGTCATTCCACAACACATCCTGATAGAATAGGTAGCCATCCTCTTTTGGCATCTTGAGTTGGAGTTGCATATAGAGGTGGGTTCCCACAATCCAACTCTTGAGCCCTTACATTTGAGATCTCTTCCTTCCACTTCTCATGCCTTGGGTGGGATGCTTGAGAAACAAGTATGCGAGGAGAACTAAATTATAGAATAAAATCTTTGGTATGCTTCGCCACTCACTTGCACCCTCTCAGGAGAGACCTCTCCCTCATAGATAGGACCTAGGTTCCATTGTAGAATTTTGTCCGCATCAAACTCCTTGACCCCATTACAATGTTGGGTTCTTCTCTCTTGTCTAAACATCTGATGAGGGGTACCATGTGGAAAATGAATTAACCTCTAAATAACTCCATGCGATATTCCCAACATAGCATAAAATGACCCCACTTCTGGCATACTAGAATTCCCTCCGTAGGGGTAACTCAAGAAGGGGTCTATACATCTGAAAAATTTGCAATCCTCTTATCTGTGGTGGTCTTGT